TTAACTTAACGTTAAAAGTATAAAGTAGTGAAATAATTTACTCTGGGAATTGTAAAGTTTCATTTCAATATATTTTTACACGTATTATTATTTTTTAACAAAGCAATTACTGCTTGAGGTAACGTGCTCAGGATTTCGTCATTAGGGGTTTTGATACCTTTTCCCTAGCTGAACTCTTGGCTACCTTTTTCTTTAAAATGATTTCTTATCCAAAAAAACACCGTTTTTGTACACTAACTGTTAGTGTACAAATGTTAGTAACTAACATTCAATAGGAAACTATAAAGTCGATTATTAGTTGGCGAATATTCAAGTGCAGTTACTTTTCTTTTCTAATAATTTTTATCAATTATTTCAAGTCATAATAAAGTATAATCAAGAAGACATATTTTCAATAGAGAGTTTTACAATTCGCATATTAAGATTTTTTTAATGAATGTGTTTATCGAGAAATAAATTATGATAAATAGATTTTTCTGTATCTGTGGAACTATTCGAAAATTGTATCATTACTAGTGATAAGACAACACGTGGTCTATTCTTTCTTATCATTTCATTTTTAATATAACATATACATTTAGTTAATATGTATAATATATTCGTTTCAATTATTCAGTTTTAGTGTTATTTTATTTTGTTACCTAGTTTAAAAAAACATTAAGAATGAAATTGCCTAGAGGATTCTGTGATTTACGTGTTGAACAGATAAATAAAGACATTTTAAATACATATGTTACATGTAATATCTAGTTTCAAAAAAAATCTATTGAGTGAAAACTATTGATTATTTTAATAATGTATCTTTACTCTTAATTATTTTTAGATGGTTATAGTATTATTGCCTTAAATACTAACGTAGATTCCTTGTCTTTGGATGTTGGTGTTTCTAATAGAAAGAAACGAAAGAAAACAGAGAATAGTGATGTTACTGAAAATAAAGATCAACAAAATTGTGTTCCAGCTACAAAAAAAATTGTATGTATTGAATCATTTTTTAAAAATTATATAATTTTATAATAGAAGTAAAAATATTAATCAAATAAAAAAACTGATCAGTTTAAAAAATTGTTTACTGTCTATGGAAAATGAATAAAATCGTTTTTTTTTCATAATACATATGCTTAAATGAGGTCTTTTTTAGTCTAATCAACATTAAAAATTATTATTGTACTTCTGTTTTAATGTTATGTTATTTGTACATTTTGCCTTCTGGTGTATATATTCTAATAAATAAATACCTTAATTGTATTAAAAAAGTATTTTAACTTTTTTTTGGAAAATTTATTTTTAAATAGTTAATATTTTATCTATACTTATGCAATATAAATAGTATTGATATTAATAAATTAAATTTATCTAGGAAAATGATACCAATTTGACTATACTAAATCGACTAACTGTGAAAGTTTCAAACTTAGGACAATTTCAGAAAATAGTGAGTTAGTTTTTTTTAATATGTGTTTTAATATTTTTTAACTATATATAAAGTATAATTTAATTAATAGGTAAAGTCACCAAATTTTAAACAATATGATATATTAGCCGTAGAACCACTGAGTGATCAAATTTCTCAAGTAATTATAAATTAACTAAAGCTATGATTCTAGCTATTTATAAAAGTTTTTAAAATACATTTATTGTATGTTTTTATTTTTTACATAAATTTTTCTTTAGGAACTAGTATCTTCTCCTCTTGTAGATATAATTGTTTGCAATGCCAAAAATATGTTAATTTCTGCAAAGCAGTATAAAGTTGCTGTAGAAAAAAATATACATTTTGAAATTTGCTATGGACCCATGCTGCGTCATGTGTTTACACGTCAAGATACAATAACTCTAGCACATTTACTCCATATTAAAGGAAAATCAAAAGTAATGATGATAAGTTATTTATTTTATAGTATTAATTAATATTAATAATTATTTTACTTTAACACTATTTGTATGTATTTTAGAATATTATTGTTTCAAGTGCAGCCAATTTAAGAACTGACATTCGCAATCCATATGATATAATAAATTTGTATCCTTTTGTTTTTTTTTTTAGAAATTTTTGAGAATAAGTTTTGTATAGTAACTTAAAAATTTTTATTAGATATAATCTATTATTAAATATAATTGTTTATCCTAAGCCAATCATGTAGATTTGAGGTTTAGTCTTCTTAACATTAAAATATATGTATTTATATATATAATATATTGAATCTCTCAATAAATGAGGACTAGAAATCAGTAACATTCTATGTACCAAAAACTGAAAAATTTAGTTATTCCAAAAACTTGTTCTAACACGTGCCAAGCCCAATAACATGTAATACAGTTTAAGAGATTTCGGTGGGGTTAAGGGAATAATTAGTAAAATAAAAGAGAGATGTTATATTTCTCTTAATAAAAAAAAAAAAATTCATTAATTAATAATATATAAATAAAGGAAAAGGGAACTTTTTTTTTGTGAGTAGTAATAAGTATGATTAACAAAGAAAGTCTTACATTTTTATTCACATTTGTTTTTAATCATTTTCTTTTGATTTCAAAAAATAATGTTTTACTCAAAATCAACTTATGACACATAGCATATTACTTATTTCAAGTTATCAAATATGCTTTATGTGTATGATATGTATATTAAATATAACAATTCTTACCGAAATTATATTTATTTAACAGTATGCTACTACTTAATTTTGTCTAGAGTAATTTATGATAAAATAATAATTTGATTAACGTAATATTCTTAATTAAAATTTAGAGGACTGTTGTTTGGCTTATCAAAGAAACAATCAAAAGATTCAATTTGTGATAATTGTCATTTAGTTGTGCTTAGAAGTTGTAAGTTTTTATTAAAATTAATTTAAAAAATAATTTTAGTAATATAACAACAGTAAAAAAAATTTAATTGAAATCTAGTATTGATAAAATTATATCTAACACTATTTTGAAGCATATCAGTATGTAGATAGTTTTACTTTTAGTCTTTACACTATATGAACTCCTAATATTGCTTTTTGATGCATTATCTATATTTTAGATACATTAATTATTTGGATTAAGCAACATTGAAAAATGATAATATATTATTTTGAAATATATGCCTATAATTCTATAAAAGAAAAATTAAAAAAAATTAATGATTTCTTTTAACAAGTTTATGAATTTTATCAAATATTTTACTGTGTTTTAAATATTTAAAAGGCCTTTTATGGAATATTCATTTAATGCATTTCCAAATAGATAAGGGCTGTTAGGCCAAAAAAATTATTACAAATGATTGAATTAAACCAGTTCAAGATACTTTGCATCTAAGTATAATGATTAATAAAAAAAAAAGTAATTAATATAATAAATAAGTTTGAGTTATGGTATGAATGATAATCAGCTCACCAGAAAATTTTCTTGTACCTACTGTTGAAAAGTAACTAATAATGTAATAATCTGCATTCATATTTACACTTAAATGTGCTTTAATACTAATTTTAATCAAACTATACAGCTAAAATTAATTAATCTTATTTTTATTTTTCTGTTATTCAACTAATTATTTGCTAAAATTTTTATTTTTAACTTGTTTAGATGGAAAAAGATTGGGAAAATCAGCAATCAATATTATACCCATTTGCAAAAAATTACAATAAGGCTCTATGATTAATTTGTTATTTTTATTATTATTTTAATTATTATTTTATAAAAAGCTTCGTAATGTCTTAAAATAAAATGTACATTTTTAAAAAATGTTGATGTAATTACACTGAATCCTTCTTAAACAATCTATTTTAGTGTAACTTTTGATTACTAAAATAATACAAGATCCTTTTAGTGTTATAATTACTCTATAAAATTATCATCGTTAAAAATATAATATAATATGTATCTACATTTTAAGTTAAAAGAATTCTTGATAGATTATATATTGAAATTCTAATTTTTGCAATTATAAATATTACTAATAGAAAGTTTATTAAAGAAATTCATGAAATTTTGTTTATTCGAATTTAAACTGTAGAATGAATATTTATTTATTATCAAGTGATATCTGAGAAAAATGAATGACAGACACAAAAAAAAAACCATGTTGTAAAATATTTTAATATGAATTAGAATTTTTTCCTCACAAGGGTAGACTACAATAATGGGTCTTTGATATTCATTTAAGTTATTCGATCTAAATAGAATAAAAATCAAACGGACTTCGAACTTTTTTTCTAAATCAAAAAAGAATTAAAAAAAAAACGTAAAAAAGTTACTTTGTCGGGCAAGGTTCGAAATCCGTACCCTTAACGTACAAAGCTGTTAATATATTCAACGCAACCTTTCATTCATTTTAAAAATATTTAACTTTGAGGAGGCAAAATAATCAAAATAAGTTTAAATTTATGTTTAATGTATGTTAGATTCATGTTACTATAAATTATTCTTGTAATAATTTGCGCATAAAAGATAAGTTGCCAGAACAAATTTTTTTTAAACATTTTAGATAACAAGCTTTAATTTAATATATATAAAATATTTAAAAAAAAATGTATCAAATAAATGGGAAATACATAATGTGTTTATATAAAAAAGTTATGGCAATTTTAAGTAAAAAAAAAAGGCAGTAAAGGGGGGTCGCGGCACAGTGGTGACGTGGCATAGTTGGATCAAGTATAATGATATCTGACAATGATTAAAATCACTATAAAAAAAAAAACGCTTCGATGCAAATCTTTAGATAGTGTTTAATTTTAAAAAATTGGTGGATTATTCCAAAAGCTTAATTATCTGTCAAGAGCCGGATTAAGTACTTTGGGGGCCGTAAGCAAATGATTCAGATGGGCCTAATTAATTACCTTATAAAAATAAGTAACATGAATAAAATATATGAAGATTATTGTTTTCTGTTAATATAGTCTTTCTCCAAATTTAGAGGGAAGTGAATACTACAAACAACAAAATGTTATATAATATTATACATTCATTATTTTATAAATAAGATTTAATACAAAACCAGGTTAAATTGAAAATTTTTACTCTATAAGCACATTTTTTAATTATAAGTAAATACATAAATTATTATAAAATAAGTCACTGTCATCGTCGCAACTATCAAATTGTTTATCCCCTTCATCAAAACATAATTCTTTTTTCTAGCTTTTTCATTTGCAAAATTTTGGATCACATCTTCAAAGTCTAGAGATTTTACAAATTCACTTTCAATACTTAAAATTCCAAGATTTTGTAGGTTATTTTGTGATAGTAAAGATCTTAAAACGTTTTTTAATAATTTTAATCGGCTAAATGATCTTTTATCTGTACAGTTGGTACACATAAGAGAAAGATATAAACGTAATAACCGTTCAACATTTGGAAAACTCCCAGTCACATTTAAATCAACTATCATCTTATACATGTAAGCAAAATATTCTTCTTCTTATTTTTATTCGTTGTAATTAATGATAAAGACTTTGACGAAAAACTTAGAAACTGTTAAAACTCCTTTTTAATAACTTTTCCATTCCTTCTATGTCTTCAATTTTCATGTCCATTGAAATGTCTAATAATAACTTAAAATTATCCCTTACGTTAGTATAAGCGTTAATTCTATGTACTAAAGCACTATAAAGACGATCAATTATTAAATAAAAAGTATTTATTTTAAATGATTCTTTTGCATTTAGTTCATTAAAACTACTCTCGTTTCTTTTAAATTTTTTTCTATGCTTAGTTAATTTACAGTCTTCATTTTTAGCCCTTTTCATGCCATTACTTTCATATTCATCATATTGGTTTCTTATATTTTGAAGGACAATTTTAAGACTTTCAATTAAATTAATTGCAGTGTACAAATCAATTACACCACTTTGAATACTTTTACTACACTTATTAAATAGTTCGAGAATATTATGTCATAATTCACACATAATGGCAGTTTCTAAATAACCGAATACTGAGCTTAAACAAGAAGCTTGGTATCGAGTTGATTATTTTTGAAATGTATCATTTTGAATTTTTTTTAACGCTTCATTAATATTCTCGTAATTTATAAATAACGCTTTAACAGCCTCAGCATTTGCACTCCATCTAGTAACTGATTTGGATTTTGGAAGTGGATAATTTTTTACTAAAGTTTTTTTTAAAATATCCCAGCGTTGGGTAGAGGCGGAAAAAAAATTATAAACTTCTTGGACAAAACCGAAAAATGAAACTGCTTCAATACAATAATCTACAGCAGATTGTCGAACGAGATTCAGCGAATGTGCAATACACGGAATATAATCAATAAATGAATTGCACATTTTTATTTCTACTTGCATACCAGTATAAGTCCCACTCATGTTGCTAGCGTTGTCATAGCTCTGCCCACAACAATTTTCTATGTTAATATCATTTTATTTCAAAAAGTTAAGTAAACACAAAGCAAGATTTGCACCAGTATGACTTGTAGTATGAATAAAAGTAATGAAACGTTCTACTGGTCCATCATTATTTACGTATCTCAAAATAATAGTTAGTTGATCCATATGGGTAATATCAGGAGTAGAATCCACGCTTATTGAAAAATAACCGACTTTTTTTAATTGATCTATAATCATTGTACGAGGTTTTTTTGAAATAAGTGCAATAAATTCGTTACAAATAGTTTTGGCAAATAAGATGTGTGTCCTTTCCCTCAATATCCGTGTACTGCAATATGTTGGGCTAAAAATGGGTCAAATTTTGAAAGAAGCTCCAATATTCCAAGATAATTTCCATTACAATTTGACCCGAAGTGTTCGTCTGAACCTCGAAATGGTAAACCACGTCTCGATAAAAATAATATTGTTTCAATTATGCGCCTTAATACGTTTTCCAATAGTCGCGTGTTTCAGTTAACTGTTTTTCTAATTCACTATCTATTCTACCCGATAGTTTCATTATATTTAGGTACATACTAATTGCCAAAACATGATTTCCTTTTTTCGCATGGTTTTCAAGAAATTTTTGAACATTTCGCCAATAATCATATCCATTACACATAATGTCATTTTTAGAAAAAAGAATACAATAATAACAATATATCATTTTTTTAGTCGGCGAATAAAGTAACCATTCTCTATTACAATAATCACCATTAGGTTTGTATAGAAAAAAACAGTTTTGTTCAAACAACAATTTACTTTATGATTTTCATAATATTTTTTTGTTAAGGAAAAGTCAGCATTTATATTTTGAAAGAATTTTAGCCCTTTTTCTATTAAGTAAGATATTAAATTATGGGATGTTAAATTCCAATCTCCGGGATTATTAGAGTACTCAATACTTTTAGAAGAAGCACCAGTGATCGAATTAAGTAAACTTGTGACATTATGTGAGTCTGATGTACTAGGATTTTTAATATTATCTTCTTTATTATTGGTATTTTCACTATTAGTATGTTTAGGTATAAAATACATTGTAAGAGGGCTTACTTTTTTTAGAAAGTCTGCTTCATTCTTCTTTTTCTTTTGAGTTTCTTTTAACTTTTCCCAACCACCTTTCGGTTTTGACATTGTTCTCGGTATTTCAAAAAAATAAATTTACTTGAACCACACTTAAACCTTTTTAAATACTAAAACACAACTGTTATATAGATATATATATATATATATACAGACCATAGTACTCTATACAGTTTATCATTCACTATAAATATTTATGACTGTGATTCTCGCCATCGTCAAACAATCGTTCTGATCACAAGTATATACCAGTGTTGGGAAAGTTCCTTTTTAAATGGAACTCGTTCCCTTACCCGTTCATTTTCTAAAATATGAACTCGTTCCAGATCCTAGTTCTTTATTTTAAGAAGGAACTTGTTCCAGATCCAGTTCCTCCAAAATAAGAACTCGTTCCACTCTTCGTTCCTTTTATGTAACCAAGTTATTTAAAAAATTGTTTTTATTTTTGTTATGAATTATTAGATTATATGGCATATTTAAATCAAAAGGCATAAATAAATATGTTTAATAATGTTTTATAACTAGTAACTACACAAAAACAATGTGACATCATTCTGTAATAAAAATGTATAACTGTACTACTGATCTTTTAAATCAGAATATAAATAACTACTATAATAATTAAAATGGTACACATTACAGATGTAGTTTTAAATATTATAACATTGTAATAATGCATATTTCTTATTATTAGACTTATAGCTGTTAACTGTAAAAAATGTATACAGTTTACAACTATTTACACTATTTACAACTATTTATTTACAGTTTTACTATTTAATAGTATTATATTAAAAGTATTTTTAGTATTTAACACACACATTAATTACAAATTTGAGAATTATTAGTCCTATTAAAACAAAACAAAATTTTCATTTTATATACCAAATTTGTTTTGTTTTAATAGAACTAATTTTTCAAAAAGTGAATCACTCAATTTATGGCGTTTTTGTGTCATCACATTGAAACCTGTCGAAAACAGTCGCTCAACAGGAGCACTAGATGGAAGGGGTGTGTTAAATTCTAAAAATACTTTTAATATTGCAGGGTACAATAGTAACACAGTCAAGTCTTTCGACTGGCATTTTAAGAATAATTCTAACTCTTCAATACGAGAACTTGAAGTTGTATTTTTCTCTACTGGTAAACATATATTAAATGTTTACTGTATACCTACATGTGATAATAACTCTATTTATAGTCAATTGATTCATTTAAACAGCCTACGATCTCGGCTGGGTATATAGGGGACTTCCATTGTCAAAAGTCAAATCGTTCCTTCAAAAAAAACTCGTTCCAGGAATCCGTTCCTTTTGGAACCAGTTCATTCTCAACACTGGTATATACATAATATCATGTAACATGTTATAATAATATTGTACGGTGTGCAGATAAGAAAGTCCGAATATTGTTATTACTTATTAGTTATTTCTATTTTTAATGAGTTATCGACGGCCCACAGCTGATGGTACTGAGTTTCATTATCTGCGGGGCTTACCGTATTTATCTAAAACGGCTCGACCGATTTTAATGAATTTTTTTCGTATATTTGTTAGATATAAGATAATGATTCATATTTATGTTTGATTTATTTGATAATTCATATGGCAGAACAACGATTGTCGGGTCAGCTAGTCATATAATATATATTTATTTTCATATACCGGTCATTTTACGGGACGTATTTTTTCGAGGGCCGTAAGCAATGCTTATTTAGCTTGTAGGTAAATCCGGCCCTGGATCTGCTAGTTCCTTATTAATATCCTGATTAAGATAAAGTATGTCGAATGAAAGATGTATATAAATACTACTTCTCATGAAAAAATTGTATTGATCCATACTTTTTTCAAATAGTTATAGCATAATAAAGTTAAAAATTTTAAATACAAAATCGAAAATTTTCACACAAAAATAGCATTCAGTAGCCATTTTCACCATGAAGATAAAATAAAGTCCGAAATTGTTTTTCCATGGTGAAGTATATTACATTAGCTTTAATTTAAGATATATATAAAAGTGTCAGATTTTCCAGAACATTTTCAAAAGTGAAGTTGAAAAAGTTAATTTTTATTGATTTTAATTATATTGATTTGGTTATTTTTAAAAGAGTTATGGTAGTTTTTAGTAGAAAAAATTTCGAAAATTAGCGATTTTAAATTTGTAATTTTTTTGGAGGTTTCTCCCATTTACAGGGAACGAGGGAATTTTTTTCAATTTTTGAGGGTAATGTCTTCGACTAGATACGATTTGTGATCTTTTGGCGTATCATTGAAAGAAATCAGTTCGGTGAGAGCTGAGAAAAAGTGGTAACAGACACAAAAAAAAAATAAAATATGTTTGGTCTTCGTTTCTTTTTGGATCATAAATTTCCTCTCCATGATAGCTNAAAAAAAAAAAAACACACACATCTTAGTAAAACCAATACCTTCTCAGCTTCGCATCGAAGCTAAAATTATTTTGGTTCGTTCATTTTTTAAAAAGTTATGGCAGTTTTAAGAATAAAATTTACCGATTTTAAAAATCACAATTTTTGGGGGGATTAGCCCTATTTACAGGGAACGAGGGAAATTCTTTCAATTTTTAAGCGTAATGTCTTCAATTAGATTCGACTTTTGATCTTTTGCCGAATCTTTGATAAAAATCGGTTCTGTGAGGGTTGATAAAAAGTAGTGATACAAAAAATAAAAATAAACCCATCATGGTAAAATGAATGCATTTACAGCTTCGATTTGAAGCTAATATTATAACAATGTGATTATAATATTCTTTTTGAGTACCGTTTAAACAAGATAAAAGATAAAGATAGATAAAACAATCATTTCTTAGAAAGTATTGAAAGAATTTTAATTTTCGAAGTGAAAAATTGTGTTTAAATCAAAAAACCAATTAAAATTATTTAACTACATTGTATTTAGTTAATTTTTGTCGCTTAGGGAATAAAAACCTAAAATTTTATTCAATTAAATGATTCTCTATATTTTGTTTTATATGATAAAAAAAAAATTTAACAATTTTGTTTATTCGATTAACCGTTTGCAGCTTATGATTATTTATAGATTTCGATTTAAAATTCAATTTCTGAATATGTTTTCATAATACTGGAGCGCTGATGGATTACTGCTTAGGCATGTGAGGCCTGGACCCAGGGCGGCACGATTTGGGGGCCGACAAGATTTTCAAAACGTTAAAATTTAAGAGCCGAAGAAATATATCAAAAATTTATTTTTAAATGGGTTCTGATTTTTTTTTAATTTATTAAAAATTTTCTTTGGACTCTAATATAATTCATTTTGCCATTGACTTTTCAATTTGAGGGTGCATTATTAATATTTTGATGGAATCAATTATATTATTCATAGAATAAGGTTATTAAAAAGAAACAATCAAATTGATAATCTTCTTTGCGAATTACTAAATAACTTTAAACTTTTGTATCTTTAATGAGATTACTCTTACATATATGAACCATTTGATATTACTTATTAGTCTTTTGTATATGATTGAGAATTAGTTTCGTACAGTTGTGGGGGTGAGTGTGTTACACATGTTTACAGAAAACAAGAGCACTACGCGCAATAGGTATTGTCAGGTTTAACTTTGCTTTGTTAACTATTGAACTAACTACTTGTGTCTGTAAGTGAGTCGCAGTAATTATTTCTGTTTTACGAATGCTGTTTCAAGAGTAGAAAGTTGTTTACTGAGTTTCTTGCTATTTAAAGAAACATTTAATTATCATATTGAATTAGACATTTTTTTTAATAAGTTGTCGAGATCCTGAATTAATTTTTTTATTAACAATGAGTAGCTATCGGAAAAAATTTAACGGTGCAGAATATCGTAAAAGAAAACCGGAATGATCTTAAAAAAAAGAAAGTTTATTAAAATAAATCTCAAAAATATCTAATTTTATGACAAGCTCAACAAATTTTATAAGTAATGAAAACGATCAACAAACATCAGGTTCATCTGTCGTAAGTAATTTAATGCAATTGTTAATAATTTTTTTTTTGAATGTGATATTTTAATCTTAATTAAAGGACTACAGAACCAAAAAATCATCTTTTTTTTAATATCTTAAAATATAAAGAAAAAACACAAATTTTGGTGGTGAAAATTTTATTTTTAAGACCATCGTTATTGACTTACGGACGATATTAAATAGGCGCATGACGTTACGGATTCAATTCCGTGGTGGCGGCCGTACTTTTCTTATGAAACTCTATCTTTAACTTGTTATAACTATTAAAACACTAAATATATCTTATTTTACCTAAGAAGATTTTTTAAAGAAAATAATTTTATCTTTTATTTGATATAATTTTTGTTGAGTTGCAATTGTTCTGACTTGTTAAAGTAATTAGTACTAGCATTCATTTTTTTTTTTTACATAATAAAGTAGATTACATTAGTTTTAACTTTATTTATATATAAAAGTGTCAGACCTTCCGGAACACTTTCAAAAGTTAAGTTGAAAAAATTAATTTTTTGTAAAAAAGTTGTCATTCTAAATCCCCTCCTGTGGGCAGGTAAAAAGTCAGATTTAAAAAAAAAATATACCAAATGATAGGTAATGACATTATGCATCTATTAAAAAAAGAATTATATTGATATTATCATTTTAAAAAAAGTGACGGCAGTTTTTAGTAAAAAAAATTTCGAAAATTTCGAAAATTAGCCATTTTTAAATTTGTAATTTTTTCGGAGGTTTCACCCATTTACGGGGAACGAGGTAAATTTTTTCAATTTTTAAGGGTAATGTCTTCGACTAGATACGATTTATGATCTTTTGGCGTATCATTGAAAGAAATCGGTTCGGTGAGAGCTGAGAAAAAGTGGTAACAGACACAAAAAAAAATAAAAAAATAAAAAAAAAAACACATCTTAGTTAAAACAATACCTTCTCAGCTTCGCATCGAAGCTAAAACAATTGTGAATCAAAATATATAGAATTTTGTTGATCAAAAAGGGCGGCGTATCAGACAGGTCCCATAGGGCGGCAAAAAGCTTAATCCGCCACTGTACTGGAGGCAAGAATAATCTGTTTCGATGAGTCATAAATTATTTTTATTGTTTGAAAGCTTTTTTCTATCATATCATTAAAATAAAAAAATGGGTTCACATTATAAAAATTAAAGTTTAGGGTTTTTATTCTTGTATTAATGAAAAAAAAATTGAACTACATAACATCTAGTAATGATAAATCATAATTAAAGTATAAAATATGTTACAGGTAATCATATATTTAGTGTTCCTATTTAATATATTTTTAAGCAAGATAAATCTTTTGCAAAAAAATGTATTCATATTTTTTGGCAACCTAGGGCACTTGCCCCTGTGTCCCTCTACAGCACAGTCCTGTAAATATTACCAAATATTTGTAAAATCAGTGATGTAATTAATTTTTTATCACTAAATAAGTGTTATCATAAAAATATTTGTTTGATAAGATAATAGTAACTTGTTAGGAGCTCGCTTTATAGTATATGTGTTTTTCCGTTTGGCAATATTTCATTTGTGGCCGCGAATGACATTGCGGTATTTAATTTTCATTTGAGGACAGTAAATTTTTAATCGTCGGATCACTTAACGATTATTTAGCTTTTAAATTCAAAACATGGCGTTGTGTAGACTGGTTGGGATTTCTAATGAAATGTCCATAACCAATATTAAACGAGCATTGACCACTGGTAAGATCAATGTATATTCAAAATATTTTCTAGTTAAATAATTTTAATTAATATGACTTAAAATGTTTTTCTTTTTACTATTCATTTTATTTATGGCGGTATTTGTAAAATTTGACTCGATTGTCCTAATAAATATTTTAAACCTATGGTACCTTTTTACTTAATAATATGAAAATCTATTTTTAAACATGAAATTTATATTAAAATAGTGTACAAATTTAAGTATTTTAATGTATATTGTTATTAAATCTCCTAGATATTTTTTCCAAAATAACTGTAAAAATATTTTTGAAATAGGATGAGAATAACTTATTGAATGTTTTAAAATCTAAATATGACTGAAATATATATTAACTATGACACCAATTGATCTGACTAATAAAATATGTCTGAATAAAAATCATTAGATTTGTATTAAACTACTTTAAATAATATAGATATTAGTTTTTATATACAACAAATTATAAATATTATGAAGCTTTAGCATAACTAGGACATTACATTACTTGGCTAGTTTCCATTTTTACTTATTTTTGTATTTTAAACTTATTTTTAATTGAGCACCCAATTTTTCTTGTGTAATATGTAAAAACTTCATTATTAGAAAAAAAAATTAATAAATAATATTACTTCTGCTGTTTATTGATACTCATTTTGATAGACAATTTTTTTATGTGTGAAATAATAGATATTAATAATTAACACTATATAATAATTTTAATTGATAGTTGAAAAATAATTTATTACTATATTATTGGCTTATAGTAAAATACTTATGACCCTTTCTTTTCTCAAGAAAAAGATATTTTGGAAATTCTATTTTTGTTTCCAAATTGTTAAATAGTATGAATTAATAGCAACATAAGTACAAAAAAACGGTTTTTAACAAAATTTTAAAATATTGGGCCTTTTTAGAAATTCTCAATTTACATAATTTCATTAAGTACCTTTATAAGGAAATATTTTAAAAATATTATTTTTTTTACATTTTGATACAGTTGAATGAAGTTTATTATATACTAGATTATTATTTAGATCCTATCTATAAAAATTAATGTGGATTTATTATAAACATAAAAAAAGTAACACATAATGTCACTCTTGTAAGAAGTCAAAACATTGAAGTTGTTTATCTTAAAATATATTTTTTTAAGTTATGTCTTTATTATACTGATAGTGTATTAGTAATTTATAACTAAGTTAAATAATTATTAGTATAATTATTAGGATATATATATTATTTGATTTATAAATTTATAGGTCATAGATTATTTAGTCAAAAAGTTCAACATACATCAACTAAGGTTGTTGATGATATTTTAGTAATTACTTTGAATACTCCTAACTCGAAGGTAAAACAAGCTAAATTTAATCTTTAATATATTATTAAGTTCTTTATTTAAAAATATGATTCTAGGTCAATTCACTTTCTTATGATGTAATGAATGAACTTCAATCAAGTTTAAATAAAGCTACACAAGATCCAGCTATTAAAGGAAGTGTTATTATATCTGGCAAGCCAAATTGTTTTATTGCTGGTGCAGATATTTCAATGCTACAATCTTGTCGTACAGCACAAGAAGTTTATAAAATATCTCAAACTGGTCAAAATATGCTTAATCAAGTTGAAAGGTCCTCAAAACCTATTGTAGCAGCAATTATGGGTTCTTGTTTGGGAGGTGGTTTAGAAGTAAGCTTTTAATTTTAATGTATTTAGGTTTTTACTTTTTCTAAGTTATTGTTTTTTTTTTAATTGTTTTAATTTTTTTTATACAATTTTACAGGTAGCATTAGCTTGTCATTATCGAATTGGAGTTAAAAGCAAAGGTACTTCACTTGCTCTACCCGAAGTTATGTTAGGATTATTACCAGGTGGTGGAGGTACTCAGAGATTACCAAAACTTGTATCACTTCCTACAGTACTTGATATGTCTTTGACTGGAAAATCCTATAGAGCTGACAAAGCTTTAAAAGTTGGTTTGATTGATCAACTTGTTGCTCCTCTTGGACCAGGGTCAACCACACCAAATGAAAGGTTTGATGATTGTTACTTAAAAGTTTTTTTTCTATTTCGGTTTATTTCTAAACATTATAATGTATTCCTCTTAACTAGAACATTAGAATATCTAGAAGAAGTAGCTGTTGATGCAGCTAAACAAATAGCATCGGGAAGCAAAAAAATAAAAAGAAACAAGAATAAGACTTTGGTTGATAAAGTACTTGATTTGGGTATGAAAAATGAATGGATTAGAGATAAGTTTTTTGATAATGCCAAAAGTAAAGTCTTAAAAATGACTAAAGGATTATACCCAGCTCCTATAAAGGTATTTTACTTTATTTATCATGAAACTTAAAGAAAAGTTTTGTATAAACATTATATTAAAAATAAAATACCAATAAATTATTTAAAATATATATTATTGTAGATTTACTTACAATAGTGTACTGTAAGTATATGAAATAGTGTAAATTATTTCATAATTTTCACTTTATAAAACATATGTTGTATTTTAAACTATATCTTTTAAAGTTTTTCTATTATGGAGTAAAAATTATAAAGTATTATTTGATTAATTTTCCTATTGTAATATTAATCAAATCTTTATTTTTAGATTATAGATATTTTACTTTAACTTTTTAGATATTAGAAGTTATCAAAACTGGAATAGCTGAAGGAAATATTAAAGGATATGCTGCTGAAAGCCAAGGTTTTGCTGACTTAGCTATGACTCCACAAAGTAAAGGATTAATTGGACTATTTAAGGGTCAGACTGAATGTAAAAAAAATAGATTTGGTGAACCAAAATCAGCCATTAAGTTAGTATTCTTGGAAATATTTGTACAAAATATAATATTATATAACTTTTGAACATATTTGTTAATTTTTATAAATTATTAGAATTATAAAACTAATCAAAAGTCATAATTTATAACTATAATATATCTGGGTATTGTGGACAATGTAAAACAACTTTTTATCTAATTCATTATAATATATATTCATTTGTGATATTTACTAAATCATAGATTATATCTGTACCTCAATTCAGAAGGGCCAATCTACAGAAAAAAAAAAAAATTCAAATAAATTTTGTAGAAAATCCTAGTAGGTTGGTAATACAGTTTGATTTATACCTTAAAAATAATTCTCAGTATACTAAAGGAAATTTAAATCATGTTAACAATATTTAAATTTAAACTTAATTAATAGTAACTTAATAATTCTATAGTTTTTTTAAAAATAGCAAACAATTTGTTTAATTTTTCTAAATAGGTCCTTTTAGACCTATTGTAAAAATATTTATCAGTGTAAAACAATTTATCAAAGTTTTTTTACTTTTTAGAACTGTTGGCGTTCTTGGAGCTGGTTTAATGGGTGCTGGAATAGCTCATGTAACTGTTGATAAAGGATTACAAGTTATTTTAAAAGATGCAAATGAACAAGGTTTAGCTAGAGGTATTGGTCAAATTGAAAAAGGGTTATCTGGTGCGGTTAAACGTAAGAAGTTAACCACGTAAGTGATTGAGGAAAAACACATTATATTATTTTATGGAATGATTTAAACTTCTCTGACTAAGAAAATAACATCTCACACTTTTAAACTTTAAAAAAATACTTAAATTAATAATAATTATATTTATCACTGTTATCCAGTACAAACTATGAAAATCTTATGTTTTTATAATGATTAATTAATAGTATTAACTACTTTTAATTACTAGTTCTGTATTCATAAGAATTTATTTTTAATTACATTATATTTGTGTATAATGTAAGATATACTTATTTTCAGATATCGGTTTCTATAACATTCTAAAGCATTCTTTAAAACTCTTTAAGTTATTAGTATTTTTGATTAGGTAATATATTAATTTTATAAATATAATATTATATTTAATAATATTATAAATTATGTATTATATATTAATTAAGCCAATAATAAAATATATTCTATTGGTTTGATTTAGATAATACTATATAGGACAAATAAATTAAATTTTATTAAATATCTACAATTATAAAAATTTTTAAAAACGAGTTTAAAAAAATCAGAGTTTGATGACTCATACGTGATAATTTTAATGTATTGAAATATAAGCTGATTGGATAATATATAATCTGAATAATAATTAAAAATACAAATAAAATAGTAATCATGTATATTAGACAAAATTACATAATTATATGAAACAATACTGATTAACTTTGTTGACATAACAATCAGTAAGTATTTAATACATTAAATAGAGATGAAAAGAAGTTAGTAGAGATGAAATCAAGTTTTGAGTACTTATTTAATAGTCAATGCTCTTGGTTGTTTGGTTAACTATGTGTTACACAACATCTTTAAAAGTATAAAACATAATTAATTTTTACTTTTCGGAAGTTAATAGTTTTCTATGTCCTATAATGTTCAAAAAAAGTTTTGTCTTGTCCCTCACTATATTATAAAAACATGTTGACCAATGACCAACCTAGGTTGCTTATCACTACTGACCCCCCGTGCCTAGCAAATAGCACCTAGTGCTAATGTCAATTGCGGTTGTAAGTGAATCTCCTATAAAAATAGAAACATTTAAATTAGTTAATACTATTTTAAAGGGGATAAAACCAAAATCTTTTTTGAAAATTATAGAACATAATACTATTAACTTTAAAAAAAAAATTAAAATATGTCTTATACTTTTAAAAATAATGTGTGAGATACAGTTAATCAATAACCATGTAGATTTAGTTTAACATGTAAAGTGTACTGTTAATTTTGTTCATATTTTAGTAATGTATAATTTTTAGGATCGAAAAAGATAGGTACATGTCTGATTTGACTAGTACTTTGTCATATGACTCTTTTTCAAAAGCTGACATTGTTATCGAAGCTGTTTTTGAAAATATCAATATTAAACATCAAGTAATTAAAGAACTTGAACAAGTAATACCTAAACATTGTATCATAGCAACTAATACAAGTGCTATTCCTATCAGCAAAATAGCTGCTGGCAGTAGCCGACCTGAAAATGTGAGTTAAAAAGTCTTTTATGTAATCAAAATTTTAGTATTGAGGGTTGTATAATATAATTAACTATTAATTATTTTTTAATTTTGAATTCAAAATTACATGTAGAAACATATTAAATTCTAATTTGTTGATTTATATTAAAAAACATATTTATTAGTGAAACAATTATTATATTATATAATATTTTAAAATAAATTCTTTAAAAATATATAGGAGTTAATTAGTAACATGTCTGAGACATTCATAAAGGAAAAATCTTTTTTTTTTGATATTAATACAAAACATTTTGTATCTTTGTTGTACTTCAATTATTATTTTATTGTTTTATAAAATTATAATTATTATCTATTTTTAGGTAATTGGTATGCATTACTTTTCTCCAGTAGATAAAATGCAACTTTTAGAAATTATTACAACTGACAAAACGTCAAAAGAAACGTCTGCAGCTGCTGTTTCTTTAGGTTTAAAACAAGGAAAGATTGTTATTATTGTGAAAGATGGTCCAGGATTTTACACAACACGTATTTTAAGTACTATGTTATCAGAAGCAATACGTTTATTACAAGTATTTATTTATTTTTCTAATTTCAAAAAATAATATCCCCATTTTTTGGGTTTTAAAAAATATTGTTTGAGCTATTTTTTTTATAATTATTATTATTAATTTTTTATATAACTAGTAGTTATAATTATAAAGTGACATATGTTGGAAGCTATATCTCTATTATGAATAGGTGACTACATAGTCACTTTAACAATGACAAATGCCTAGCCCCCTATTTTCAGCTATGATGAGGTTGTGTCAGGTTGATAATTGGTGTAAAATTCCCTGTCAAATCGTAATATAGACTCTAAATATTTGGGATAAAGGTTAAAGAGATGATTATGACTCTTATTTCATATTATAAGCATCTGATTAAATAATAATTTAGTAAAAAAAATTCAATTACTCAAATATTTTAATATTGAATTGAAGAAATTTTATCAGTATGATTTATATTTAATTTACCTAACATTCTTTAACAGTATTTATCACTAAAAATTATAAAAATGTTATATAATTTATTTTTGTTATTGTTAATTTAAGGAAGGAGTTAGTCCAAAACAGTTAGACAATATAACAAAAAGTTTTGGATTTCCAGTAGGAGCAGCTACATTGACAGATGAAGTTGGAGTAGATGTTGGTTACCATATTGCCTCTGATTTGTCTAAAGCATTTGGTGCTAGACTTGATGGTGGAGATCTCAACTTTGTAAAAAGTATGGTAGATGGTGGATTTTTAGGCAAGTGTATTTTATTTGTATTGGATGACTTCACTAATGAATGAACAGTTAAGAATTTTTTAACTTTTAAAGTATCTTATTAACTATATTTTAATTCTACTCTCATGAAATTAATACTAATTTGTTCTCTGAAATAGTCTTTATAATAATTATTATTTACTTAAACATAAATATTAATTCATATTTAATCTTGAAGTCAGAATTTCCCAGTGAATGAACACAGTTTAAAAATTGTGATATTACAGTAGGGCTTAATTTAAATATTTTTGTGCTGCAATTTGATTACTTTTTTAATTAAAAACTTGATAGTGTTCATTCACTGGCGATGTCACACTATATTATATTTAACAGAAAATATTAAGATTGGTTCACAATATTTTGACAAATTTAATAAGTTTTTATCTACTAAATATTTTGTGTTACTCTTTTAAAATTATTATAATACTTTTGGACTATGAAAATACTATTGAAAATAATATATTTTTTTTTCTATGTGAGAAATGTAAAAAAAATGTTGCTTTTTTTAAGTAGATTTAAAAAAAAATATTTGTAGCAAAATTATCTTTTAATAATTTGTAATTAAATTTCTACAGCATTTTAAGTTTTGTAAAAATTTAAATATTTTCATGTTTACCTGGGCCACGATAAAATCAGAAAAAAAAAGTTAGAAGTATTTAAAAAAAAGATATTAAGAAAAATCTTCAGTCCAAAGAGAAATAATAAAGTAGAATATGTAATGAGGAACAATGAAGAATTTGAACAATATTTTTAAAGAACTTTGTATTATTATAACTCTAAAGAGTATGAGGATTTTATTGTAATTATAAGTGGACAGGACACGTATGTAGAATAGAAGGAATAATTGGATTAATAACTAGATGGAAATTCAATAATAAGAGATCTAGAAGACTGCATTGACAATAGACTTAAAACTTTTGCATGTAAAAGGCACAAAGAAGAACGTGCAAAAGATAGAGAGAAATAAAAAAAATATGTTGTTGTGGCAATAGACCTTAAAAGTCTAGAAAAAAATGTTCATATTTATTAATTATTTAGAAATAATAATAATACAAAATATTTAGTAGACCAAGAGTAATTAAATTTGTTTATTCAGATGACTCCCAATAACCATAATTAAAATAATGAAAAGTAAGTTAGATAGTTAAATAAAATAATGTAATCAATTTTATTATTATATATTTAAATTAACTGTTAGCATTTATGTTTGATGATATTATGATTGGGTATAATATAAATTATATGATATGAATATTGAAAAATACAATATTGTTCTATAATTCTATTACATATTTGTATAATAAATTATTTTAAATTTTAGGACGGAAGTCTGGAAGTGGCTATTTTATTTATAAGGCCAATACCAAAAATAGACCAGAAAATGATGAAGTTATTTCTTTACTTGAAAAATTCAAAATGGAACCAAGAGGAGAACAAACTGTTGAAAATCAACAGCTTCGTATGGTATCTCGATTTGTTAATGAGGCTGTTTTATGCTTAGAAGAATCTATTTTAAATAGTCCAGTATGTAAATTATGCATTGACGTTTTTGAAGCATTTGACTATTGATTTTGTTTTACATGTTTGTGAAGTTTTATAAAAATGTAAAAATTATAGTTTAAAAGATCTTTGAAATATATTGAAGAAGTTTAATGGGAAATTTTAAAAGTTAAAGATCAGAGTTAAAATTTAAAATTTAAATTAGAATATTCTTTCTTTTTTCTTTTTATTTAATAAAAATTAAAAATTTGGTACAAATTAGAACATGTGTATGAGTTAGGCATTTAATAGGTGTCAATTTAGCTCAGTCAATAATACGTCGTGTCTCGGTTCATAGGTACAGGGGTTTGACTCCATTGCATTAGATTATGTAGTTTTTTGGTTTTCTTTAACACGAGCATAAACTTTCAATAAGAATGTCAAAGATAAATTAATAATAATAAAAATAATAATTTATGTTAAGTATGAAAGTAGACAGTTATTTAATAGTGTAGCTTCTATGAATTAGAATCCTAAATAAATATTTTGGAAGGTGCTACTATATATTTAATTTTTTTTTTTTCGTGTCAAATTGAGATATACAGATTTTATATTTACTTCTTGATGTTTATTTTTATTTTTTTGGTCTTTAATAATAATTATAATAATATTATTAAAATTAAATAAATAGTTTTGAAGTATAAACTAAGTTGTTATCATTATTTTTTTTAGGTTGAAGGTGATATTGGAGCAGTTTTTGGTCTTGGTTTTCCTCCATTTTCAGGTGGTCCTTTCAGGTGGGTCGATTGGTATGGTGCTGACAAACTTGTGGCAAAAATGCAAACATTCCAAAATGACTATGGAGCACCGTTCCAACCATGCCAATTATTATTAGATCATGCTAAGGATAAATCAAAGAAGTTTTATCCATCTTAAGAGACTTGTTAAATTTACATGTATATTCAGTAAAAATAAGTAAATTGCTTGGGAATTTCGAAATTTTACTTATAATAGATTAAATTAACAATTTAAAGTCTGTAAAACATACTTATATAATTTCTTTATTTTTTTAAATTGTTGGTAATTAAAGTTTATAATAATAATAATATTAATTATTTTACTTATTTATAATTTTGTTTGATTACTGATTATAATAGATATATTTTTTAATGAATTAATTTATATTCAATTGTTTATTAACAATGTCCCTTTATTTTTACTAAAAGAACAGACTAAGTAATGTAGCACTAAAAAATGATAGATAAGAGGGATTTTTTTATTTGTAGATTTAGATTTTCTAAATGGTTTAAAAACAAAACAAAATTTTAGATTCTAAAAATAATATGCGATCCTTTTCTATTACATGTAAAAACTTTTCAGAAAACGAAAATATCCTTATTGTTAATAAGTTATAAAATTTTAAAGGTCTATTGAGCCGTCTTACTCATGTGTAGGCATCATACTTTAATTGTGTTAGGCTATGTAGTTTTTCCTTTCGACTACAGACATTTGCTTTTAAGGGTTTATATTAAATTTAATGTAGTAGTTTTAGGTTCGATGTAATTGCTCATTGAAGATAAGTCAAAAATGAAAATATAAATTCATTTTTTTTTTATTAATTGTTATTAATGTGTAAAAAAGAATTTCTATCAAAATGTACATAACAATAAAATTATAATTGTTTTATTAATACCAATGTAAGATTGAAAGCTTCATATGAGATAGTTTACGGAGAAAGCGTACTAAAATTAAATTTACTATAAGTGAACTTCAGTAACAATGATTATATGGTTAAAATACAATTTTATTTTGTATGAAAGGTTAATAATATTCCCTCCAAACAAAACTAACTACGCTACTGCTATACTCGCCCACCTTACACTGTAATGAGTTCATGATATATTAGCGAACAATGTTGGAGTATCTAAGTGTAATAATTTTATATAGTTCTTTACTGTTTTACTGTGCTAACAATATTTATTTTTTTAACTAATTGGTATAGCAACGATTAGCTAACAAATAAAGTAGTCTTGCTATTCAAAACGTTAGTAAAACAAAAGAACAAAATAAGACGATAGGAAAGAATCTGTCGTATAGGTAATTTATATTAACTAAACATACTTAAAAAAATACGATAGCATAGTGGGGTAGAGTCACAGTGTGGACGTGGCATAGTTGTGTGAAGTATAGAAGATATCTCACAGTGATTAAAATCACTATCATAAAAAACGCTTCGATGCAAATCTGTAGATAGTGTTTTAATGTAAAAAATTGGTGGATTAGTTAAGTTTTATGATTTATAAGTGTAATATATGAATAAATATTTATTATACCAATTAAATATAGTATGAAATTGATATTAAATAATTTATATTGTAATTTTTTACAAAAATCGTATTTTTTTATTAACTTTGATGTCCGTTTTCACCATGAAAACAAAATAAAGTTCGAAATTTTTTTTTTCATATTAAAGTATAATACATACGATTTAATTTAAGATATGTATAAAAGTATCAGTATTTCCGAAACACTATAAAAAGTTCAGTTGAAAAAGTTAATTTTTTGTGAAAAAGTTGTCACTTTGAATCCCTTCTTGTGGGCAAATAAAGGGTCAAATTCATAAAAAATAATAGGTAAATACCTTATGAATCTACAAAAAAAAATTATATTGATTTGATCATTTTTAAAAAACTTATGGCAGTTTTAAAATGTCGAAAATCAGTGATTTTTAAAGTTTTTGGAGATTTTCTCTATTTACGGGGAACGAGGGATATTTTTTCAATTTTTGAGGGTAATTTCTTTGACTAGATACGATTAGTGATCTTTTGACGTATCGTTGAAAGAAATTGGTTCGGTGAGAGCTGAGAAAATGTGGTAACAGGGACAAAAATTAACACATAGTAAAGTTAATACCTTTCATTGTAGCTAAAATTATGTCAAATAAAAAGGGATAATCATAATTTATTTATAAAAAAAAAATTGTGTAGTACCATACGTTTTTAAAAAGTTATAGCAATTTAAAGTTGAAAAAATAAAATCGAAAATTGCACATTTTAATACAAAAATATCATGTTTTTTAACTACGGTAATAATTTGCACATAAAAGATAAGTCGTCAGAACAAATTTTTATTTAAAACATTTTAGGTAACAAGCTTAAATTTAACTTATGTTTAAAGGATGTAGTATTTCCGTAACACATTAAAAGCTTAAATTGAAAAAGTTGATTTTTGTAAAAAAGTTGCTATTTTGAATCTTCCCAAAAGTTAAATTTAAAAAATTTTACTTTTTATACGTATGTTGAAAAAGCTAAATTTTAGTTCAATAATGTTATTTTAAATCTCCTTTGTTATGGACAGATTACTCCTTAATCTTAAGTTCAGAATTTTGTTTATTCGAATTTAAACTGTAAAATGAATATTTATTTATTATCAAGTGATATCTGAGAAAAATGAATGACAGACACAAAAAAAAACCATCTTGTAAAATATTTTAATATGTATTAGAATTTTTTCCTCACAAGGGTAGACTACAATGATGGGTCTTTGATATTCATTGAAGTTATTCGATCTAAATAGAATAAAAATCAAACGGACTTCAAACTTTTTTCTAATTCAACGCAACCTTTCATTCATTTTAAAAGTATTAAACTAAAAATAACAATTTATGCTAGTTTAAAATTTCAAAGCAGCTTTTCTTAACTTTTATGATGCAAAATAATCAAAATAAGTTTAAATTTACGTTTAATGTATGTTAGATTCATGTAACTTTTATAAAAATTGGTGAACGCATTACTATGGCAAACTCTTTTAAGGTATTTTAAAATAAACTAAAAATAAAATATAATTTAAAAACAAAAATATCATGCTTTTTAACTACAGTTATAATTTGCGCATAAAAAATAAGTCACTAGAACAAATTTTTTTTTAAACATTTTAGGTAACAAGCATTAATTTAATATATGTTTAAAGGACATAATATTTTCGTAACAATTTCAAAAGTTAAGTTTAAACAATTTACTTTCTATACGTATGTTTTAAGTTGACAGATAAAGTGTCAAATATTAAAAAAAATTGTATCAAATAAATGGGAAATACGTATTTACATAAAAAAATTATTTTGGTTCGTTCATTTTTTAATAAGTTGGCAGTCATAAGAAAAAAATATAAAAATATACCGATTTTAAAAATCACAATTTTTTGGGGATTTGCCCTATTTACAGGGAACGAGGGAAATTCTTTCAATTTTTAAGGGCAATGTCTTCAACTAGATTCGATTTGTGATCTTTTGACGTACCTTTGAGAAAAATCGGTTCTGTGAGAGTTGATAAAAAGTAGTGACACAAAAAATAATAAAAATAAACACATCATGGTAAAATGAATGCATTTACAACTTCAATTTGGAGCTAATATTATAACAATGTGATTATAATATTATATTTGAGTACCCTTTCAAATTTACAATGAATTGTATTCATTTATAAGTATGTTATAATTTTCAAAATAGTTTTTTTAAATAAATATTGTTAATTAGTTAGAATGTCAATAGTTTGAGCTGTTTTAATTATGGAATATAATATTAGAAATCGTGGGAAATGCTCCTTGCGTGTTTAATTTCATAAATTTAATTTTTAGAAATGTCTACTTTTAAATACAATTGTATCAACTATATTTTTATTTTTAAATCATGTTGTGTTATTACCAGTGGCTAGGAGGGGGCAAAGCTTTTAATAGTTCTTAGGAGAAAATTTTAATAATAAAGAGTAAAATCTACTAATATTTTCAACATGCTATTGATAAAAAAAAAAAATTTATTTCAATATGTTAACATATCATTATAGGTTAAAATGATAGGCTTTTTATTTTGCTAATTAATATTATTTAAGGTGACCCTAAAAATATTAGAGTGCTAAATTTCATGTAGCCATCCCGCCCTAAAGTATTAATTGTCGCCTTGATAATTACTAAGATAAAATCTAAAATGATGTGCTCAAGAAATATTATTAAATATTATCTTATTCTCAATAATAAGATTATATAATAATAATAGGAGGAAAGGAAAGGAGTATATTAGGGCCTAATAGCAATTTTATATGTTGTTCGACACTTAGGTGTCACATATGAATTACACCTACTTGTGTGCAAATCTATTTTAAAAGTGTGTAGTACTAAATTCCTTAAAGTATAGTGATTAATTATAATACATATTTTTGAATTTTAACAGGTTAGACTTGGGTTAAACGTAAAAAATGTTTAAATACGGGTGCTGGGGAATATCGTTCAACAAATATAAAATGAAGTAAAATAACTAACTTTTAAATATGTCTCAGTGAGTAGAATGATCAAGTTTTACCCGAATCCTTATTTTTTGAAGATTGTAATTTTTATTTTCGGGAGCTAGATAGAAGTGGGGAGGATTAAGCTTACCTAGAATATCTATGAAAAGGACGCCATACTAATACAGTCCCTAGGTTACTAAAATCTTTAATGTGTTACTGGCGACTCAGGAAAACGTTTAAGAGAGCAATTTCAATGCAAAGAGTGCCAAAACACAGTGTCAGATTCGGGTTTTTATTTTGGGGAGTTTTACATAAGAAATTTTTTACTCCAAAATACATTTTCAATGTATATATATATATATATATTTTTTTTTTTTTCATGAGGGTTTCATCCCTATATCTTTTTTTTTGAGAACGTTTATGAATTCAAGGTAGATAATATTCGTCATGGCCTCTTCTTCAAAATTGATACTTTGCTATAGACTGATAGTAATTTTTTTTTAGATAGGGCGTTAAACTGTATATTCTATTTTACATTTGTGCAAGTCGAAAAAAATTTTTTTGTCTTGATTTTCATAAAATTACTACAAAGAAAAGTTGATAAGGGGAAAGAAATAGTTTTCAATTGTATATTGAATGAAATATCGAGTTCATTTTTGAAAATAGCTACATTATCATTGCTATCTTATGATAGCCAAGAAAGCTAATAATTAAATAATATTTCATATCAAAATGCTAATGGGCTAAAGCCACCACTTTGAAGTATACCTGGATTCAACATTGATAAGTGCGTGTTCATACAGCGTTTACCTTAAAGTTCTTGTCCCCATTAACCTACGGTATATACCGAAATATTATTAGAAATCAGGTACATATGTACCCGATTTATAATATTTGGAGTCATGAACTAGTGTTAGGTCTAATGTAGTATAAGTAGTTATTAGATTTTTCTTGGAGAAATTCATATTCTTCGTCGTTGTTTAATGAAATAACTAAATTTTAATTACAAATTTCCACGAAAATTTTTTTTTAACGTTATACTTATTTAAGTAGACTTCTTATAGTATTTTTATACCTACTATAATAGTTCATAGTTTTAGACAAAAGTGAGAAAATGTATGAGAATTATTACTTGGAATGACGCATTCCGATACCCCTTCCCATAAATGTTGTGTTATGTCCACCGGCCACTCTATCAAAGTACTGGCGCTAACGTTCCGCCTTCATTATCAATTATTAATATTTTAAGGATATTATAGTAATAACAATAATAATGTTTCCGAGTTATCATTTTTTGTACTAATCCACATCTATTCTGTGAATAAATTTCGTCCAACTCTAAATTTCATTTGTATTTTTCAAATAGGATTTTATTCTTTTATTATTCGATTGTCAATTTTAGACATTCGTATTGTAATCGTTTATCCCCGACATTTTCTCTTTCATTATCCACAGAACGTGTGACGTGTGCGACTCTATTAGCACAATTCTCTTGTTTGACATCGACAATCTACTGAAAAAATAATCAGGTAGCTTAAATTTAATATTTAGAAAGACGTTATGAAGTTCATTTTGAATGCTATTATTTTGTGTGTAATTTATAATTGTTGTTGAAGTGAAGTGTTAAAACTCAACAGGTTATTACAGTTGTTTAGGGTCCTTTTGAACTACCAAAATGAACAAAAAGTGTGCTAGATGTGATAAAACCGTTTATTCTATTGAAGAACTCAAATGTTTAGACAAAGTATGCACTGATTGACTAAAATATCTTTTTAATGTATTCAAATCTTAATTAATTTTCAAAAAATTTTACAGGTATGGCATAAGCAATGTTTCAAATGTCAGTCTTGTGGTATGACACTGAATATGAGAAATTACAAAGGATTCAACAAAGAACCTTACTGCGAAGCGTAAGTATTTGTTTAAATTAACTCTTTAATTCTAATTTCTAAAATTAATAAAAAATGTTATGCATTTTTGTATTATCATTTGTATAGTTTTTTAAGAACTCTTATAATTCAAATTTATTTATCTCAAAAAAAAAAAAAAATTAAATTAATAATTTTTTGTTACAAAATATTTTAATTTTCATGCTAAATATAAAGTTAGTCTAAATTTTTTGAATAATTAATATGTTATTTGTTCTATAAAGTGATAAGGTTCAAATTAATTAATTTTCTTTTTAATAGTTAATTAAATTTTCATAAGCTTTATACAATTGTTAGAAAAAATAAATTATCAGATAAAAATTAATATTATTTATTTAATTTGCGCTAATATTTATTGATGATGATTATTATTGATAATGTGCTGAAATCTGTTTAAAGTAAATAAAATACTTTTTGTAAATAAATAAAATCTTAATAATTTTACCTATGTATTACATCATACAATTTTATTTTATTTTATGAATTTGGTTGCAATAAAAATAAAATAAAAATTATACACATAGGAAACATTCTACGTTTTTAGGCCTATAAAATGAAAAATTTACTATGTGTATTGAACAATTTTTTTAGGTACATGAAATAGTACTAAGATGTATTCCATGCATGAGACCCATAATTTTAAAAACTAATGAATAATTCATAATAAATTGTTTGGCTTTTTCCATGAGTATTTACTGTTAATTATTTCAATTATTTAATTATGTAATTCAAAGATATTTTTAACTAAATATCTAAATTACTTAAACAGTAATAATATTTTTCTATGAGAAATTTGATTATTTTATTAGTTTAAAAAAGTGAATTGCTTAAATCATCACATTTTTTTTTATAAAATTTTCACTATAATACAAAAAAATTGTTTATTAAATAACTGGTTATGATATGTTATAAGTATTTTACTAATTTTGTATCATTCAATAGGTAAGGAAAAGGTTAAAAGTACTAATTAGTTAGGTAACTAAATATTACTATCACCCACATTCTTATTCTCTACTTAATAGTTTGATAAATCCACTGGCTTAGGCAATGATTATGAATTATAGTATAAATTTTTTGTTTATAAGGATGTAAAAGTTAATTTTAATTACTTAATATTTCTAAGAAATAATTTATTTACTCATATTTAAATATATTTTATCAATTTATTATTTCATTAAGAGTAATTATTGTGATTATAATTCAAATGTTTATCATAATTTAATCATATCATAATTATTATAATGTATAAATTTAATACATTTTTAGTAGATAAAAATGAAAACCTTATTATTATTATTCATATTAGAAATAATATACAGAGTAAACTGTTTATCATAACCCTCCTAATTATTCACAAAGTAGATACAATATTGTATCCCTTATACTTATGACAATGTCAGCTTAATATTTTTAAATGACAATGTGTATATTTAAGTAACTTATTAAACAAATCTAGTCTCAAGCTCCCTTGCTAAATTCTCATATGATTATTTTTAATCTAGTAAGTATTAATTTAAAAATAAAAATTCATTTTCATGTAAACAGGTTTGGTTTTAACAAAATCAAACTTTTTGAAGTCCAAATAGTAATATTTGTCAAGTTTAATATTTATCTTTACATTTTGAACAAATGGATAATTATCCTTAAGTTTTCAGCATCTAAATTCAATAAGATATTATTACCAATTTTAATTTAATTTAAATATATAGATATATGTAAAACAAAAGTATGTGTTTCATATATTTTAAAATACATTAAAAAATAAGTCATTTTTGTCCTTTTAGACTATGTTTAAAGCATACATTTTATTATTTATCACTAATTAAAAAAAAAAAAATTTGTATCATTAATTTTATTACAGACACATACCAAAAGCCAAACATACAACCGTGGCAGAAACTCCTGAATTAAAAAGAATTGCTGAAAACACAAAATTACAATCTAATGTAAGTGTTATACTAAACATTATATTTTGAATAGTAAAAATCATAAACTATCATCACTTATACTACAACAATGAGAATCCCAAAATTTGTTAAAATGAGATTTTAAGATTTGTAGTTTAATTATAAATTATAAAAATAAAACCACATTTTTATTAAAACATATATAATTAAAATTAGTTTATTGATTATCCTTAAAATCTGCAAAATGAGATACTGTTATAGTATATATAATAAGTGATATTTTATGATTGTTTATAATAATAATATATATATAAAAATTACACAACTATTAGTGAAATATTATGTTTTATTGCAAACTTTTTTTTTGGATAAATACTTAATAGTAAGTAATTCAATTATTGTAATAAGTTAAATAAGCTTAAATGGGAATTAAAGTATAAAAGTAGTTGATTAGAATTATTTCCTAAATATTATAATTATTATTATTTTTTAACTGAAAAATTGTGTTCAATCTTGTAAAATAGTTTAGCTTATTTTTAATAATCATTATTTGTTCCATACAAATTATTATCTTAATATTTATTTTGTTATTATTAAAACTTTTTAATTTTTGTACTATTTTTTCTTCCATGCTAACTATTTAATGCTTAATATTTATAATATTTGTTTAAGGCAAAATATCATGCAGAATTTGAAAAAACCAAAGGCAAATTAACTCAAGTTGCTGATGATCCTGAAACTCTAAGAATTAAAGCAAATACAAAAATTATAAGGTATAATGATTTTGTTTTTCAAATTCATTAAAATAACAAAAAAATGTAATGCACATTAAATTAAATTTTATTTTTTTGTTTTCTATATTATATTGTAACAAGGGGTGGTATGTTAAGTTAGTGTTGTGGTGGTGCCTAATGTGTACTGTTACAGTTGGTCCATTTGCTGAGTGAGAAATCTTTTCATTATAATTCGAGTCACAATTTTTCTCATTAGTCTGAGACTGATCATTAGCCCTGGAGCATATAGAAGTTATGAAAATTTCATTTAGAGATATGCCGCAATAACCCTAAATGGGCTGTAAAAGCAAATATGATAATAATTCTATATCCAATAATCTGTGATAATGTGGTTAATAATAATTATTATTATTATATTAATAAAAAAAAAAAAAAAAAAAATGTTTTTTTGTATTTTTAGCAATGCAGCATATCATGGTGACTTTTTGAAGAAGGCAGAAATGGAACAACGTAGAAATTTAAATGGAAATAACACAATCAATGATGTACCTGGTAAAAATGTTATATTTTTAAATTTGGAAATTTACATAAATAGTTGTCATTTATTTTTTAGCAAACAAAAATATTTTTGTAAATAAATCTCAAAATCATGATACCATAGTTAAACAAAACAATGCACCACAACAAAATTATAATTCTCCAAACAATGATGGGAGGTATTTACATAAAAAGAATGATAATGTCCATTATCATCCTAGAATAGAAGAATCAAATAAAGTTCCAGCATGTTTAAACCGGCAAACTTCTACTTTAATTTATTCTTCAGATGGAAACACGGGTAATTTTAAGTAATATTTTCTTAAATTTTAAATAATATTATTTTATTATTATTATTTCATTAAATTTTATATATTTTATTTACGTATATAAAAATTATATATTTTTTTTAGTACCTAATACATACAGTCATCACATTGGATCAATTGCTGATTATGATCCATTACAAAAGCAAACACCTTATGGTAAAGTGAATCATATACCAGACAACCACAACTTTGGAGTGTGTATATATAAATTTATTAACTTTAATATCATGTTATTATTTATAGAAAAATTAATTTTTGTAAAAAAAAGTAGGTTATGTAATATTTATTTTTTTTACATAGAGAGTTTACAGAGCTATGTATGATTATGAAGCTCAAGATCACGATGAAGTTTCATTCACAGATGGAGATTTAATAGTAAATTGTGCTGCTGTTGATGATGGTTGGATGACAGGTGTTGTTCAAAGAACAGGAAAATCTGGCATGTTACCTGCAAATTATGTTCAGCCAGCTGCTATTTAAAATTAAAAGTTCTATTTTTATAACTTTTGTTAAAAATTTATGTTTTTAAATTTAATTAAAATCAGATTTTTAAATTGAATTCCTTCTAATTTATAAAAATAATTAATATAATAATATATATTTGTGATATATCAAATTTACAACGATTGTATTACTAAGTTTCTACATATAGAAACAATCCTTAATCACATTCCAATCATTTTGTGGTTTTAATACATTTATTTGTAAAATTATACCTCTTCATTTTAGTTTTAAAAATTTCTTTTTATTTATTTTGTTTCTTTTTAAAATTTTCTCTTGTATAATTTTTTTCTTTTGATTAAAAACTTCTTTTTTTTTGAATTTGTAAGTAAATACTCTCAAAAATTAAGATGTAGCTTTATATTAATGTGCCAATGATATTTTTCAAGTCATTTGATTTTTATTTGATTTCATGAAGTTTAAGACAAACTTCAAATTATTAAATTGGTCAACTTGACATTTATTATGTATTCCTACATTAAACCCACTGAAAAGCTTATATTTTTAAGGGTTGTCTCACATTTCTATTGTATTTCCTAATAAGAATTATTTTACGTATATAATTATGTTATTGCTTATGTTAATTTAAACTACAGTATTTAAAAAAATTTTTATGATTCCTTTTTTTTGTGAAGTATTATAATGTATTAAATTATTATTGGATTATAATTCTTATTGAATACTTTTAACATTTCACTTATATTTTTCCATACATAATTGTACACTAAACTTGTATCTTCCTAGACTATTATGTTTGTGTTATTTCAATATCATTGTATTTAAGTTAATTAGTCTTTTTTTTTAATGTTAAATTTTTGTGTGTTGTTATAATATTTATTGTGACTGCTAAGTTTCAAAAAATTGTCACTGAATTCGTTCAGTATTAATTTTCAATGCGCTTTGTTATTTCATATTATTTTAAGATATGTTAAATATCTTCATTTAATCATATTTTCTTTTACCATTCCTCTTATAGTTTTGTTCATTAAATACATTATTTTTAATTGTTTAATTATTACAATTTACTAATAAACTAAATTTTAAATTGAGTTGATTGTTAATAATTTGATGTGTTGAATTCTACAATTAATGGAATGTTTATCATTATTACTTATAATGAGTTTTTTTTTAATTTACTTTATTTTATTTTACTAGTTGGTTCTTTAACAATATTAATATAAATATTTTTATTAATATAAAAAGAGTATCAATATTTATATAATTATTACAAATATTGTAAGATAAGAAGAAAATAATTTATGAGCTACATTTCTGCTATATTCAAATGGTTCTGCATTATAGACCAATCTATAATATGCTTATAGAGTGGTTATTATTTGTGCAGTGATTCAAAATGGAAGTAATACTATGTTAATAAATTATTTGGAGAAGCGTAAAATTATAATCTTAATAAATACGAACTATTTTTTTTAATGAACATCATATCATTTATTTTTGATTGACTTTTTTAAGGAATAAAAACGGTATCATAGTGGAGCGTGGCACAGTATGGACGTGGTATAGTGGGACAAGTATAGTTGATATATGACAGTGATTAAAAGTTCTATAATATTTAAACTGAAAGTGAAAGAATATGCAGAAATATCAGAAACTGATGAAAAAGATGAAATTAAAATTTTGATATAAAATAAAATGAAATTTGATCCGGTCTCAAATATTATTGTGCATTTGATTTGAAATGGTCACGCACTACTATATTTGAACTGTCACATAATATTATATAGTGCACTGATCATATAAATAGGGGTAGGGGATCAACTCTCAAAGTTTAAAAGAACGTTAGCACATTGGAGTCGCAGCATAGTGGGGATGTGGCATAGTTGGGACAAGTATAGATGATTCTGACAGTAATTAAAATCACCATCATAAAAAACTCTTAGTTGCAAATCTTTAGATAGTGTTTAATTTTAAGAAATTGGTGGATTACTCCAAAAGCAAAATTAACTCCTATTTTTTGTTCTACTTCGACAGCCATTTGCACATAGGACGTCGGTACAAATTTTTTTTGAACTTCTAGTTCATAAAATAAGCTTTATTTTATCATATAATTAAATGACGCATATTTCCCAAAAATGAAGTTGAAAAAGTTCTACCTTTTATACAAGTTTTCAAAAGTAGCATGTTTTTTGACTACTGAAGCCGTTTGCACGTAGAAGATAAGTCGTCGGGACAATTTTTTTTTTTTTAATTCATAGTACGTAATATAAAATTACATTTTACATATGTTTTAAAGACTCAGTATTTCCAAAACATTTTCAAAACTAAAGTTGAAAAGGTTAAAAGTTGCTATTTTAAATCCCCTTCTGTGGGCAGGTGAAGTGTCAGATTTTTAAAAACATTTTATCAAATAAATTACTGAAACTTTCAATATAAAAAAAAATTATTTTGATTTGTTCATTTTTCAATAAGTTATAGTATTAAAAAACAAAGTGAAAAACAACCCAGCACAGTGGTGACGTGACATAGATGGATCAAGTATAATGATATCTGACAGTGATTAAAATCTCTATAAAAAAAAAACGCTTCGATGCAAATTTTTAGATAGTGTTTAATTTTAAAAAATTGGTGTATTACTCCAAAAGCTACATAATCTGCTAGTTCATTATTAATATCCTAATTAAGATAAAGTATGTCGAATGAAAAAGGGATTATTAAAAAATATTATTTCTCATAAAAAAATAATGTTCATCCATACACTTTTCAATATGTCATAGCATTATAAAGTTAAAAATGTAAAAAATAAAATCGAGAATTTTCACACAATAATAGCATTCGGTAGCCATTTTCACCGTGAAGATAAAATAAAGTCCGACATTTTTTTTTTTTCATAACAAAGTACATTACATTAGCTTTAATTTAAGATATATATAAAAATGTCAGACCTTCCGGAACATTGTCAAAAATCAAGTTGAAAAAATTAATTTTTTGTGAAAAAGTTGTCATTTTAAATCCCCCCCTGTGGGCAAGTAAAGGGTCACATATAAAAAAAAATATACCAAATGAAAGGTAATGATATTATGCATCTATATAAATAAAAATTATATTGATTTGTTCATTTTTGAAAAAGTTATGGTAGTTTTAAGTAAAAAAAATTTCAAAAATTTCGAAAATTAGCGATCTTTAAATTTGTAATTTTTTTGAAGATTTCCACCATTTACGGGGAACGAGGGAATTTTTTTCAATTTTTAAGGGTAATGTCTTCGACTAGATACGATTTGTGATCTTTTGACGTATCATTGAAAGAAATCGGTTCGGTGAGAGCTGAGAAAAAGTGGTAACAGACACAAAAAAAAANTCATCAAAATCGGTTCAGTGAGAGCTGAGATTGAGCGTATACAGACACAAAAAAAAAAAAAAAAAAACACACATCTTAGTAAAACCAATACCTTCTCAGCTTCGCATCGAAGCTAAAATTTCGAAATTTTCCGATTTTAAAAATCGTTATTTTTTATATGATTATAATATTTTCTAAAAACATTAGCAAATTATCAATATATATCTAACATCAAAACATGTACTTATTAGTTACATAATAAATTTAATAAATAATAATTAACAAAATCAATAACATTATTAAAACAATAATTATCAAATATAATATTTTTTTAACTTTATTTTTTTAAATAAAGGTTTTATTTTAATTTGTTTTAAATTTTTAATAAATTTAGAAACGAAATAGGTTAAATAACACATAAAATATAATAAATGAAAAAACAACAATCTTTTGTCGTAATTTAATGCTTTATTTTAATGGGGAAAAAAAACAGCTAGAGATTTTATGCAAAAAAATAAACAATTTTGCATTGTTGGAAATTAATGAGGTCTAGGTCTCACTTCTAAAATGTACAATGCATTTACAATGATTATTGCATCTATAATTTTAAAAATCATAAAATAATCATAAAAATAAGTACATTCTATTTTATCATTGTGTTTTATCTTCAAGAGTTACTTCATTACAGAAATTTTGGACCACTGTGTCAGAAGTTATTAATAATTTATAGTAATTACTGAAGATGAGACGCGGGTGTTGCTAATTTCTGTACCTAATTCAGGATTTGAAATAGTCCAAAAATAAGTTTTGTAAACGGTTATAAATAATTTACGAATAAACATTTGTTATTGGAGGAGATTCAGCTTAAGATAATACAAATTTCAAATAATACCACACTACCCTAAGCATATAGTAATAAATACATGTACTCGAAAACCGCATGACATAATGTGCATGAGTATTAGTTGGTAGCTTCTATACTAGGTGTCGCTCAAAGTTCTTGTAGCTTTTAATCAATGAAGAGGCAAATGGCGACCCAATAAAAGAAAATAGTAAAATTGCTCTCGTGGAAAACATATCGGCGCTACTGAACTATACGTGTTGTCGTCCATTACCACGCACTTGTACATAACTATAAATATTAAATTAAAAAAACGTGTTTATAGTATTTAAATTTTGGCAATATAATAAACGATCTGTAAAAAAATATATTAACAATTAATTATGTTGAGTTTTTGTTTTTTAGCTTTTAATAAAACCATTTTTTAATTTTAAAACATGTGTTGGAATATTACAATACAATAGTTAAAAAATAAATAAATATAATTTTGGATTAAACAATACTTATAGAATTTTTAAGAATATTTTTCGACCTATTGAGGATTTGTCACCGCTTTTGAGTAAGTGTTTAAAAATCATTTTTCGCGTTTACCATTTGGTAAACAATGCATCTCAGGATTATTAAAAATATTTCAAAACGCTTAAATATGATTAAATATAAATTACTATATTAAAAACTAATTTATGAAATGTGACCGTTATAGTGTTACCTATAGGAAATTAAATTAAATTTAAGTGTTAATGTTGTTAAATATTTATTTTATGCCTTGAATTATATTAAATACATAATTAATAATTTTATCAAGAATTTTAACAATTATCATAGTGATACTAAAGTTAAATATTGTTATTATTCAATTTGATATATTTACAGGTTATCTAAAAATAATTACTACTAAATTCTGTTTCTATTTCACGATGTATAGTTTAATTGTGTACTACTATTAGGTTCAAGTCAACATTAAAAGAATCTATGAAAATTTCAGTGTTTAATTTATAATTTAATAATATAAAGTTTAAGATCTATAGATAAATATATATTAATTTATTAATTAATAAATTTATTTTTGTAATAATTTCAAAACTAAAATAAGAAAATTTTTCACAAAATTATCGAATAGTTGGGCTAGATGTATAGGGTCAAAAGAATGTTATATAAACCATAAGAAAACGTTCACTGATATATTCAGTTGAAAAATGAATTCTAAGATGAGATACTTAGAAAACTTAATGAATAAAATATGAGTTTATTCTACTGTAACAATTATTTTCTTGTTCATTAGATTTTGTTTTGTACTTATTTGCTTATCTTAACGTAACATTTCGACTTAAAAAATCGACTCACGAATTATTATTATACTTGTATATTTTTATAAAAAAAACTTCTTTACAATTGTTGATATTGATGTTTGATATTTTTGGTGTTTATTATTACATAAAACCCTATTGAATTGGTTAGACATTAAACTATAGTATTTTAGGTATAAAATTGTGTTTATTAATCAAATGATAAAAAATCATCTAAATTTCCGTATTAGAGATAAATTTTCCAAAATATTACAGTTGTACTTAGTTTGTACAATATATTGAAAAATAACTTTTTGAAAACTAGAAGGATTATTGCGAAATTTTTATGATAATACATTTGATAGTAACCTTGCCAACGGTACGCTTATTTTGAAAATCCAATCATTAACCAAAGTACTGTGGATGCTTTCAAAATAGTATTAAAATTTTTGTTTCAAATACGTATTGAAATTTTTTACGGTAGAGATTTTAACCACTGTCAGATATGAATTAATACTAATCTAAACATAATGCCTCAACTTCACTATGTATTATTTTGACTGTACTTAAATTTTTAATTTATTTTATGTCTTTTTTATAGCCGATTCTCGACATTACTGGTTTTTTTTCTCGTATTTTTTCCAAAAATTGATAATTTTACTTTTTTTGTTAACACAAATAGAAGTAATGATGTAAAAAAATAATTGTATTAATTATGTATAGTACCCCTAAGACTCTTATTATTATTTTAAACAAATTGATATTACAATAAAGTGAACAAAATATTTTTTGCTTTGTATTTTGCAATTTTATGATAGAAATAAATATAATTATTCTTAAGGAAATTTTTAATCTAAAATAATAATAAATTGCTAAGTTTAAATTATTTTTTTTAATATTGGATAAGTAAAAATCTAGTTTAGTTTAAAATGCGAGTGTTTAATATTGGTGAATAACAATAGCGAGAAATAAACCAATTTCCGGTAGATTTGATGTCATTTCATTAAATTAGAAAAGTAGATTTATTTTCATTGTAAATAAAAATTTTCAACCAAAGAAAAATAGATGAATAATTCATACAGGAAATATATTTAATGCGCTATAGTAAAACTACTGGTTAATTTATAGTAACAAAGTGTAATCAACTGTATTGAAAGAAAAACGTTTATAAATAGCTATTTAACTATTCACCCCGGAAAAGTTATTTTATTTAAAATTAACCTAATTTTATATCATTTTCGTGCATTTTACTTAATTAACTATTAAGTTTAATTGGTTTTAGTATCAATGTGTAGCTAAGGTATGGATATTACTAAGACGTTTTTTGGTGACACTATATTAATTTGTCGCGACTACTGAAACGATTTCGCTCAACGATATGACAAAAGATGAATAGAAGTTGAAAATAATTTTATATTAAAGAGACTTTTGATTTTGCTCAATAATATATTAAAAGATTACAAATATTTTCTAGTTAATACTATTGGTGCCAAAATGTTTAGAAATACTTCTCAAACCCCATAATAAAGGGAAATGTCCCAAAAAATTACAGTTAAATTAATGTTTGTTGATATTTTAGTTTTCACTTTATATTGAAAAAACGTTTTAAAAACGGACAAATTATTGCGAAATTTTTAGTGACATAAATGTACACTTTTACCTTGCTAAAGACATATTTCTTTTTTTTTTAAATAAAAACACTAACTAAAGTACTGTGGGGAGGGAAGAATATATACCATCTTATATTCATTTTGTATAAATTTTTAATAATGTTTCGAAAAACATGCGTTGATTTTGAGGTATTTCGCATAGCAACAGAACATTTACATAATTTGAATATTATATCTACAAAAATCAAATGAAAGGTTTTTTAATGTACTCTAAGATAAAAAAAAATGAAAAAACAATAATTTTTTTTCTTTTATGAGTTTTTTTTGATTTTTTAATGTAAATTGTATTTTTTCTTTTTAAAAGTTCATAATTTTAACGATTTTTTTTTATCATAGATACTATCTTATTAACTTCGATGTGAAGCTGAGAAGGTATTGTTTTAACTAAGATGTGTTTTTTTTTTATTTTTTATTTTTTTTTTGTGTCTGTTACCACTTTTTCTCAGCTCTCACCGAACCGATTTCTTTCAATGATACACCAAAAGATCACAAATCGTATCTAGTCGAAGACATTACCCTTAAAAATTGAAAAAATTTACCTCGTTCCCCGTAAATGGGGGAAACCTCCGAAAAAATTACAAATTTAAAAATGGCTAATTTTCGAAATTTTTTCAATTTTTTTTACTAAAAACTGCCGTCACTTTTTTAAAAATGAACATATCAATATAATTCTTTTTTTTGTAGATGCATGATGTCATTACCTATCATTTGGTATATTTTTTTTATAAATTTGACTTTTTACCTGCCCACAGGGGGGGATTTAAAATAACAACTTTTTTACAAAAAATTAACTTTTTCAATTTAACTTTTGAAAGTGTTCCGGAAATTCTGATATTTTTATATATATCTTAAATTAAAAATAATGTAATATACTTTATCATGGAAAAAAAAATTCGGACTTTATTTTGTCTTCACAGTGAAAATGGCTACCGGATGCTATTTGTGTGTGAAAATTCTCGATTTTATATTTTACATTTTTAACTTTATAATGTTATAACTTATTGAAAAGTGTATGGATCAATACAATTTTTTTAATGAAAAATAATACTAAAATCCCTCTTTTATTCGACATATATTTTTAAAAATAACACCATTTTCCTTTATATATTTATATATTATAAATATGTATATATATATATTCATATGTTGCACTTATAAATCATAAAACTTGTAATAAAAATATAAATAAGGAAATAAGAGATCATGTAACTTTTGGAATAATCCACTAATTTTTTTAAATTAAACACTACCTAAGAATTGCATTGAAGCATTTTTTATGGTAGTGTTTTAATCATTATCAGATATCATTATACTTGACCCAACTATTCCCCGTCGCCACTGAGCCGCAACCCCTTCTATGCTGGGTTTTGATATTTATTTATAATTAATCACAAAATAGTTTTACATACTTATCCCAAAATGTTCAAAGGTAAATAAAAAATCATTATTGTGGACACGGACAGGGTTGCTAACTGTAATCCTGTATTATGATAATGACAAGTTTATTACTACAAACTGTAAATAATTCATAGCGTACTCAGTATATCACACTTTGGCGAAATAAAAATTGAATAGTCATTGCATTTATCTCAAAATTACTATAAGAAAACATACAGCTATGTTCCTTAGTAGGGCATATTATGTATGTATTGATCACTGTCTTTAAATAATAATAATATAATATATAGCTCAGTTATGTACTAATTTCGTCTATACCCGTAATGCCGGTGATACAATCTTAAATATCATTCATTAAAAACTTCACTGTGCCGGTTTTTTTTTAATATGCATATTTTTAAACATCTAATCAAAGCCCTACGAATAAGAACTATTAGAACGCAGCAATATACGTTTATAATTTTTTTTTATTCAAATTTCATTAATGTTTTGGAACGTCTGTGTTCTTCAAAATTTAAATTAAATTAAAGCTTTTAAAATGTACTTTGAGATTAAATCAAGAAAAACATCTTGATAATTTAATAAATTAAAATTTTCAATATTTAAAATTAATATTAAATAAATATAATTTTTTTATTAGTTATGCATACCATTATGCTTTAAAATTAAATCTGTATGCTCTATAGATACTACTAAAATATTTGATAAATGAGCATCCGTGATCTTTGCGGTAACTGTCAGGCGAAATCTACATACTTTACGGTCAATAGACCAATTGTTATTCGAATAGCGTTTGTTTAGTGACGCTTGTACCGTAGGGATAAATACGTTAGTTGAACTCGCGAAATTAGGGTTTGTTTCTAATGTTTTATGGCATATTCTTGAAAATCAGTTTCTAGCGCCATCAGCCACTAATTAGTCTTTTCTCCGAAAATCGCAGTTAAAAAAGTTTTTATTATAATAATTTTCCTTTTTGTCACAATTATTGTTTATTACTAAAGTGCGATTTTGTACTTACACGAAATGAATAATTTATAAATTGAATTTCTCTCCAGTTAAATGTTAAATATACTTACGTGTATCTATTCTCTTTAATAATAGAACTGTTATAAATTCGCATAAATATGTTATAGTGCGCTGTAGTTTTGAGCATTGTTGATTAAATTTTCAAAGTAATTTGTACAATTTATTCAGAAAATATAACAAGGTTGATAGTGATTTCATGGTAAATCCTATATGATAAGGGCCATATTATTATGTATTTATGTACATTGTACAAATCAAAATTCAGCTGTGTCGTTTTAACTTAATGGTTAGATATTCCAACCTTTTTCAAAAGCTAATATATCATTTTTAGCAATTTTTCACAAAAGAAAAAATAAATCTTTCTGATAAAATTAACTCATAATTTTTTAGCACAACATAGACAACATCCTTTTTAATACAAATTATAAAAAATTCAAAATAATGTTTTGTAGTATATTAACTTTTGTATATAAATCAAATATTTATTGTTGGTTAATATAGTTTTTAAAGACTTTTATATGATTTTTAGTTTTAATAAAGTTTTATGGTTATTAAAATTTTATAAGAAATGTATCTATTTTTGAATTTTTTATCTAGTAATTTTAGATTTATGTAAAACTTAGATGAGATGCCCTTATTAATATAGATATATTACTTAAGCAGGTCATGATACACCGGAGCAAGTATTTTAAACGTTTAATGGGAGCTGTGGAATAATGCCCGGAGGATGGGGCCGAAGTCCTGGGAGCAGTGGATCTGGTCCACAACCAGGACAGCGCACCGGGCATCGATTGTTACCTTTACCATTCAACAGATCTGCCAGCGGCGGTGGCAGCAACAGCAGCAGTGGAAACGTCGGAAGAGGAGGTGGATTTGGCGGAGGGGAAAGTTATAGCGGTGGAGGTTTTTCTAGTGGCGGGGGATTAAAAAGTGGAGGTATTAGAGGTGGTGGAAATACTAGTAATAAAAGAGGTGGTTTCGGTGGCGGAGGAAATGGTGCAAGTTATAGTGGTAGAGCTGCCGAAGCCGAAGATGTAATGGGGCACTACAACCGAAATAAGAACAATGTTAATAAAGTTAGAACTGGCTTGTATTATTCACCCCCTGGTACTTCTTACACAATTCTAGAAAAACCACCAGCAGCAGTACCACCCCCACCACCTCCTAGACCAACATACCTTAGAGAATCTTCAGCAGGTTCATCTAGTGCATCAAGTCATCCTAGTAATTATCAATGCTTAATAAAATTGCTTATTTTACTCAAATATCGATTTTGTAAATTGTTTGTTTTATTTTATCTTAAATGTACTAAACATGTAATTATGTACATTGTACATATTGGTGAGGCATATTGTCTCTTACAGGACTGTATTTTGGCATTATAAATAAAACTGTTGATTAATTATCAGAATATTTTATAAACTTTTATAATCTCTTATCTACAACATGCATAATAAGTAAAATTATTATTAATAACTATTAAATTTCAACTTTGATTTGATTTTGTTATATGCAGGTACAATAGGTAGTAATAGCCGTATTAACAATGCAAATTCTCGAGGGAATTCTAACAAAAAAAGACCAATATCTCCAGAACAAGTACTTAAAATGTTTTCAGCGCCTAATTACAACGCACAGCAATCATCATCATACCATGCATCTAACAGCAGTAAAACACTATCTCCACAACGTTCAAACATTCATAGCTCAAACACTTCACAATCGCACAACAATTTGACATCTTCTAACCATAATGATAATCTTACGGTACGCACGATATCTATGTCCAGACCAAATGCAACTTCAGGCAGTCCATCCACTCAAGGATTTGGTATATGTGTCAAAGGCGGAGCCGATGAATCAAGTGAATATATAGACTTAGATGTTAATTAGATAATCAATGATAAATAATTATATATATTATTTTATAATATAACTATATAATTTATGAATGTGTTAAAGCTTTCGTGGATTGTCTTGTTGCTTGAAGTGCTTAAGGATTTATCCATATTTGTAGTTGAGTTCTGACGTTTCGGACTCATTGCAGAGTCCATCTTCAGAACTCAACTACAAACATGGATAAATCCTTAAGCACTTCAAGTATATAATTTATTTTATATTATAATATTTCTATTTTATTATCTATTTATATAGAGTGCAACCATACTTTCACATATTTTCAATAGTCCTTTTTTCGACGTTTCAGCAGAATTACAGTTGACAATGTAATTAAATTTTTTACAGATGTTGGAGTGTACATATCTCGTGTAGAGGAAGGTAGCATAGCTGAAAGCGTTGGTTTAAAACCGGGAGATTCTATTTTAGAAGTTAATGGCCGTCCTTTTACTAATATATCCCACGAAGAAGCTCTTAAAGTATAAATTCGATTATACATTTTAAAACTTATTTAAAATTAAATACTATGTTTTTCATTTGAATAGATTTTAAAATCATACCGTCAAATTACAATGACGGTTAAGTGTCCATCTACACCTCAAGTTATTCGAAGTAAAAATAATGATGGTGAAAATGTAAATTCTGAAGATTCTTGGAGGTTAGGTCATGCATACTCGTGGATAAATAGGAAAGGACATCCAGTGTCTCCACCCCTTGAGTATTCTAAACTAAATTCACCATATTCTAAGTGGTCATATACACGGTCATCTAAAGATAAAATTCGAAAAGTAAATCATAATAGCACTAACAAGTCTAACATAAAGTAACTAAATTATGTTTTAGGTGGAACTATTGATAGAGCCTGGTCAGAGTCTCGGTTTAATGATTAGAGGAGGTACAGAATACAACTTGGGCATTTTTATCACTGGTATAGATAAAGATTCTGTTGCGGATCGATCCGGATTGATGGTGAGTGGTTAAATACTTGTTTTTAGAAAAAATTAAAGTTTTTACTTAGTAAAACTGAGACCAGTTAAGAATCAAATTTCTTGAGGTTTTTTATTACTATTTCAAAATATTTCATTGTGAATGTAAGTAAGACAAAGGTTTGTTACTTTCTTCTCTATTTAAATATTGGTAAATGGGCTTAAATTAAAATATAATAAAATATATTTCTAAGCATATTTTGTTTAATATAAATGGAAAGAAAGCTTACTTTACTCTAAGTTATAATTAATTGAATAATTCAAACTAGTAATAAATTATCGAATAAAAACTTTTATTCATTTTACTAGGTTGGTGATCAAATATTGGATGTTAATGGTCAATCATTTTTAAACTTATCACATGATGAAGCAGTTAACCTTTTAAAATTTCAAAAACAAATGACCCTAACGGTTAGAGATGTGGGTAAAGTGCCTCAATCATGTGCCACTTATAACTCCGAGACATGGAATCGTTCGTTGGATAAGTAATAATTATTTGTGATTATTTTTAGTCATAATACACGTAATTTAGTTTATTCGCGACTTTTAGAATAGTGGAATGCACCTAACATAACTATCTATCACAATAAAATTTAATAAGCCACCTAATTTTTTAGATATTTTTTTAAATAGTTACATTTTATTTCTTATGCCTTGAATCTCTATAAACGTAAACAATCTTTTAACTTCCGCAGCATTACGGATGGTACTTTAAAATTGGGTACATCAGCCGCTTCACAGATGGTCGAAGAAAAAGCTAGGATATTACTGACAAAACACGAATTTAATACTTTACGTTACTATCTTGATGAGTATTCGTGTTCTCGAATGTCAATTGATGCATTTATTACAATACTTTTCGAATTGCTCAACACCACCGATAAGGTGAATAATAATTTTGATAGTAGTTTTTAAAACTTATCTTAAAAGATACAAAAAAAAAAAATTCATATAATATGACTTATAGTTCACACTATTGACGGAACTCCGAGAACTAATTGGCTCATCAGATCGAGATCGTTTTGATCAGTTGGTATATAGAAGAGGACGAGAATCTAGGAATCTTCATCCCCGAGTAAGTCAGAGCCTTTTTTTTAACATTTCCGTCATACGATATTTGTGATACTATTTTGTGCTAGACACGATATTTAGTTTTTTTCATTTAACTAAAATTGTTTATCAGTTATAACAAATTTTAAAGTTTCGAGTTAAAAATATACAAATATATAATTTATAGAATTACAACTATGATTCTATTCTATCTAAATATTTTTACGACGCTCTTTTACACAGATGTGTAACGGTTATTGTAATTAAAATAATGCTGATTAATAACGGTAATAATTGCAGCGTAACTACAGACTACATATTTTCATATGAATAAAAAGACAAGTATACTAATTGTAATGACTTAAAAAATATATTAAATAAAAAGAAAATACCTAAAGTACTTATAAAAAAAATGACACTGCGATTTATCTATGTTTTAAAAAGTCATAACAGATTAAAGAAAAAAAACAAAATGGAAAAGGCGATTTTTTAAATAAAAATTAAATTTTCTTTTTAATTATAAGCGCCGTTTAAGTATGTAACATAACAATATTTTCAAAAGTTGAAAAGGCTATCTTTTACGGAAAAGTTACAATTTTTGGATTTCCCTATAATGGGCAGGTTAGAGTCAAATTTTCAAAAACAATTTACCTAAAAAAACGAAATTATCTAAAGCATTTATAAAAAAAATCGTTTTGATTCATTTATTTTTTAAAAAGCTATGACAGTTTTAAGTAAAAAAAGTTGAAATTTACTAATTTTAAAAGCACTAATTTTTTGGGGGATTTTCATCATTTACGAGGGACGAAGGAAAAATTTCAATTTTTGAACATAATGTCATCAACTAGATACGATTTGTTTGATATTTTGACGAAAATTAGTGAAAGACACAAAAAAATAAATATATATAATGAACACATGGTAAAATTAATACCTTCTCAGCTTTGTATCGAAATTAAAAACCATGTTATTGTTACACAATTTTTTAATCTTTCACATAAATGACAACGTGATCTATATTTCTTTGAAGTTTCACTTTTTGTTTTATTTTATATTTGGTCAAACAATATTTTATACGTGTAGGAAAGTTTTTCATTTATAACCTAGATATAAACTGACAAAATTGTGAAGTGTAAAGTAACTATTTAAATATTACATATTTTTTGAATTTAGAATTACATATTGTGTGTAATATATTTATAATTTTTTTTTTATATGTAAATTACTTTAAGGCTTAGATCTTAGAGTAAGTTACAAATATAATTTGTTAGAAGTGAAACACTACAATTTTTCAAGATATCGATAAAAACATAGTGTAATAGATAAATTTAATTACTATCGATAATAAGGTTCATAATAATGTGTTTTGTTTGCAGAACGTCGAAGGAGGGTTTATAACTGGAAGTCAAAGTAAAGTATTCCAATATTCTGGCGATGGCGAAAGTATGGACTGTAATTCACCAACGGATTACCCAATTAGTCCGAATTACAGGAATATTTCTAGGTAAGATTATTTAAAGTTAATAAATTTACATAAGTCTTGTTTTATACGTATAATAGTTTTGATCATCTGTATAATGTACAATACAATTTTATTACTCTATAAAAATAGTGAAAGGATAAACGATTAATAAACAATAGTTTATTTAAATACGTATAATTATTATTAAATTAATATAACAATAAATATATTTAAAAAAATTAAAGTATTTAAGATTATACTTGCATTAGTATTTTAAAAGTTTAATTGTTTTTGTATTATTTTTGGTTGTAAACAGTGAAAGAAAACTAGAGGATAAATGTTCTCCACTGAAAATCAGTGATAGAGAAATGGAGATCGAAGAATTCGAGTTTAGTCATCAAGTAGGTTTATGTATAAATTAAGAATCAAATTGAATTATCTAAATTAACTTTTGTACTTTGTTTAGGACTTTGGTGATTTAGAAACTGAGCTGTTACCAAGAAAATACCATAGTGATTTGGCAGATCTTAGTTATTCACATAGGAATTCTTCTCTATATGATGAATCAAATATGACCAGGTCATCGGTAAAGTACCAATTAATTAATTTAATTATATCATATTAAAAAATGGCAATTACCATATCATTAAAAATATTTTTTACGGATTCGTCCTATTGATTATATAAGCATATCATAAAATGCTTTATTTTTTTTTTGTTAACTTTATTGCTTTTGAAATATTTTTGTATAAAATAGAGTATATTTAATTGATAATATGATATATTTTACCAGAGGCTGGTTTTACAAGAACTAAATATCGTGTTTATCAAATTTCGTTATGTATATATTTGAAAATTATAAAACTACAAATTAATATTTATTGTTGAAGATGATAATCGTAAAAAAATATAGACTATGAAAATTACACTGCAATATTGTATTTGATATTAATGTTACCACGAGCACTACATTCCCCTGCCACAGAAGTATTTACACTTGGATGTTATTGAAAAATGATGGTGGATTTTAAATATTTATATATTAAAAAATTTAATTAGATAATTGTATTGATATTTTGATTTCCCAGCATGATAGTTATCTTGTTAAGTTTATGACTCGTAGAAGGAGCTGTTAAAATTTAAAACAGGGTTTGGTAAAGAGATTAATTTCATGGTAATTTCTATTTAATTTAAGTTTTACTTAATTTAATTATTTTTTCTGGTTAATAAGTTATTAAAAGTGATGTAAACACGTTATTTTCTTATAGTTATAAAGTTTTCAGCAAGTAAGTAAACAGGTCAGTTGTTACAAATACTGAAAACAGTAGAAATCCGTCTCCTTACTAATTGAATATACTATATATAATTACATAGTTTTCTTCGTTTAAATTTTAAAAAAATAATTCTTATTTTTACAATTTTTACATCAAACATTTTTTACTTGATAAAATTTGCTTGACATGGATATTTAAAATTTTAATATTTATTTTCTTCTTCTTCCTTGCCTTAATCCCAACTACGTAGGGTTAGCCACCCTTATTCTAAACTTCCACTTGACATGATCTCCCATATCGTCTACGCTCACATCAGCCATCCTCATAACGGATTTAATAACATTCCTCTATCTCATTTTGGGTCTTCCTCTACCTCTTCTTCCTTCATAATTTATTTCTATAACTGTTCTTACAGCTTCCGATTTCTCTCTCTTCATAACATGATCAAACCATCTAAGTCTATTTTCTTTCATCTTATCCACGATTGACGCTACACCTATACTCCCTCTTATATGCTCGTACAGTCTTGTAGTATAGTCAATACTTCAGTCTTGTAGAATTTACCTTTTAGCCTCATTGGAATTCTTTTATCTCATAAGACGCTAGACGTTTCTCTCCACTTCAACCACGGCACTTAATCCTGCGTCTTACATCTTTGTCAATACCATCGCTCTTTTGCATAACTGATCCTAAATACTTAAAACTTTTCAACTCTAATCACGTCCTCGTCTATCCGCACTAATCTCCTCATTTCACCTACCTCGTGTTCTCCTTTGTCAAACTCGTACTCTATATACTCTGTCTAACTTCTACTTTTTCTTAAAACCTTTTCTCCAAAAGCTGATCTCCACACCTCTAGCATTTGATTAATTTCCTCCCTATTTTCTCCTATTAACACTATATCATCAGCATATCTTCTATTATAATAATGTACCATTTCGAGACTCCTTTTCTCATTAATGCCCACTTTAAAACCTCTCTCGGTACTCTATCATACGCTTTTTCCAAATATATAAATACCATACACAGCTATTCCCTAAAATTTTCTGTTAGTTACCTCACACAAAATTCTGGCTCCATTGTTGACTTATCAGGCATAAATCCAAACTGGTTTTTAGATATTGATGTCTCATTTTTTTTTTCTTATCTATTACCTTTTCCGAAATTTTCATGCTATGACTATATGCCACCTTTACCTTTAAATATAGGCACCACAATACTATTCCTCTATTAATTTGGAATTTTCACTTCTAATAAAATTTTATTTAAAAGTTCCTTCAACCACCTTATGCCAACACCGGCTAATATTTTTCATACTTCTACTGGCACTTCATTTGGTCCTACTGTTTTATTCTTTTTCATCGATGCCACAGCCTCCCATACCTTTTTCTCACTAATTAAGTCTACCAGTCCCTCATTCCACGAGATATCCTCTAATGTCCCTTTTGGATACTCCTCATTCAGTAATTTTTCAAAATACTCTTTCCATCTTTTTTTCGCATCATCATCACTCGAGAGCACTTTATTATCAACACTTTTTATACACCTTATATAATGATAATCTTTAGACCTTTTTTCTCTTACTTTTACAAGACTATAGATTTCTTTCTCGCCTTCCTTTGTGCCTAGCCTATCATACAACTCATAATACCTCTTAAACTTCGCCTTACTTACTGCACACTTGGCTTCTTTGCACAAATGCTTATACTACATCCAGTCTTCTCTCTTTTTGCTCTTCTGCCATACTTTGAATTTCTTTTTCTTACTTTCTATGATTTTTTGAACGTCTTCATCCCACCACCAGGTTTCCTTGTTTCCTGGCATTCTACTCCTACTCTCACCAACAATCTCTTTTGCAGTATTCTTTACACAACTAGCAAATCTATTCCACGCATCATTTATGTCTCCTTCTAAATTCCACACTGTCCTTTTTTTTGCCGTCTTGACAAACTCTTTTTCATTTTCCCCTTTCAATTTCCACTAACGGATTTTCGATTGTTCTCCCGTGTTCCTTCTGTTTTTGTATATTCTTTTCCCGGTACTCCAAAACTCCATTACCATCAGTCTATGATGTGTAGTTACACTTTCGCCTGGTATAACTTTACAACCCTTTACTCGCTTTACTCGCTCATCCATTTCTCTCCAAAACACTTCCTTGTCTATTTCATCACATCCTACTTGTGGTGCACAGGCATTTATTACATTCAACACTTATTGTTCGAATATCAATTTTACGGCTATTATTCTGTCACTTTTCCTCGCTACTTCTACTACTTTACTTTTCATTTCCTCATCCATTATTATCCTTACACCATTATTTGTGCTATACTTCCCTGTGTATATTATTTTATAACCCTCACCTATTTACCTTGATTTCTCTCCTTTTCACTTAGTTTTCCTGCACACAACAAATGTTCATTTTTGTTCTCTTCAATACTTCTACTAATTCTCTACTTTTACCAGTTAATTTTCCAACATTCCAAGTACCTATTCTTAATTTGTATCTATCTTTTTTTTTCTCTCTCATACACCAGTACAGCCTAGAGTTAAGTGGTGATGTCCCTACACAATTGACACTACAAACGTTGGGTAGACCTGTACACATGACTGGTGAAACACCTACCTTGTGCGGTGTTGTCCGGCTAGTATCAAACACTTTATTCCTTAGGTCTTCTTCGTTTTTAATTACTTTATTCCCTCTTACCTGTTGTCTCCGCGTACATCCGAGATGGGACAATTCGACAAAATTACTTTATAAATGGTAATATTTTGATATTTAACATAATATTTCTAACAGATTTTAAAAGTTTTGTCATTATTTATTGAAGCTATATCTTTAAAGACGGATTTGAGGCATATAAATCTTAACATAGTACAAAGCCAAATTATAAAAAAAAATAACTGTAACTCCAACATTTTATCAATTCATTAAAATTAAACTCGTTTAATATTTTTTAATTTTTTAAATTAATAATATTTGTAATATAGTTTTAATTATCTCTTTATTTAAAAACATTAAAGTAATAGATAAAAAACAATTTCACTGCTAATTTGTAAAATTTAATTGGAGAATTTATTTTCTAATTTTTTTCTTTATGATATATTTATAGTTATTATAGGATATAAAAAATGCCCATGGTATTGATTATTACATTATAATAACAAAGACTAATGAATTTCTGTCTTGTAATACAGTTAAATCTTATGACTAAGTTTTGAAACTTTAAACTTTATGCATTTATAAAATTTGTTTGATCCACTCCCGAATACCTAACTTGATAAAAATTTATCATATGTATTTACAGTACCATTATGGGAATTTTATTTATTCTAGGGAAAATTGTCCCCAAAATTACATCCTCAAAAATTAAACCATAATATACTTTTGTTAAACCTAAATGTATATTATTTTTTGTTAATTTTGTCTGTATTTTATGCTTAATAGACGTTTATTATTCAAATAAAATAAAAATAATTAATATATATTTATTAGGATTAAGAAAAACAATATATATATTTATAACATTAATGTATTTGGGAATAAACTTTATAAATGCACAAAGTCCCTTTTGTGTGACTTTTTGGAAATTATTTTTTTAATCAAGAACTACGAAAAGTTTAACTTAAAAAATCAAAAGGAAACAAATTTAAAATAAGAAAGTACGTTTCAAAATAATCACTTTTACAATACAATACAAAAAATTATTAAATATAAAATATTACTGACTGATTAATATTTATAAAAAAATAGGCTGGGTAGTTCAATACTGTAAAATTGTATTTCAGAAATATTAATAAATACTCAGAGGTTTAATTTTAATTTTATTGGTTAATATCTTTTTGGAAAAAGCCATTTGTATTTATCAATAAAATTTATAAAAGTAAATAATTTATTTGCACGCAGACTTTCCTAAAATTATTATCTGCATCTTTGGATGTTATTTCATTAATGATATTACATAAGCACATAATAAATCAAATCGACTTGACGGTTCTTGGAAACAGCAGAAATTTACCTGTACGGTTGGCTGAACGTTTTATTTTAACGATCTTGTTTTCTCGAGTTGATATATTTCTGTGTATCGAACTTAAAACAAACCAGAAAAGCTTAGCCTCTAGCAAAGCAATGACATGATACAAATTTAATCAATATGTTTTATTTTAGTAATAATAATTTTAATCGTTTAAGATTAGTAAACTTCACTAATACAAAGTACATAAAAAAAATAGAATTTATTGACTAGTGTAATTTGATAAATTTATTATAGTAAATTTTAAACTGTATATAAATTATATAGTAATCGAATCTATAAGATTGTTACTGTACCTTATTCGATTGTGAATTTTCGTTAATGTTATAGAAGTGCACTTAATAAATAATCGTAAAATAGTTGATAAATATTAGAAGGAATATCGCATTAATCTGTTATGTAAATATTATAATTAAAACGTGTAAATAATTGTTTTTTTCTAATTGGTCTTGAGTGGCAATTACTAATCATTTTGATCACTTTTCTAATATTTTTCGTTAAATAAATATGTATATAAAATGTAAATAATTTTGTAATGTAAGTCTGATTGAATTGTATGTAATAGAACGAATACGTGTTTTGAGAATCATTAAATTTATTAATACAGTTTTTTTATTTTATTTTACTCTGTACGAATGCTTTCAGAGTGGATACTTGGAGGGAATACGATCCCACTTAGGGGGATGGACCCAAAAATTGAAATCCTGGTACTATGGAAATCCTCTAGTAAGTCTCTGAATAAATGTTTCAACTCCATTTAGTTATTGTATGTGAAGCAAGTAGTTAGTATTATTTTTTCTTTAGTATATCATAATTTTTTTTTTTATAATATGTGTATATTATTTATAACTGAATCACTCGTTTTCCTTTTATTGTCTTTCGTGTACTTCTCTAGTTAAATATATATTATTTATTGTCTCAGTGTTAACAAACTTTGTTTTATTCTGTGTTTGATGGTATTCATTTTAAAGCTTCTAATTATAAGTAGATCTTAATACTCTGCGAACAATCTTCTTTTTTTTTTTGAGTTAACTCTAAAATCAAATACATTTTCAGCATGTTTTTAGTCAAATAACTACTTAAGACCACTTATAAATTTTTAATTTCTTCCTAGATATAAATATTACTATAGTTAAATATTTTTTTAGAGCAGGTCCATTTATAAGGTTATCAGTGCACTTCTGGGACATTTAATTAAAACTGCTTTAATATCACATTGCGTCCATTTATTTATTTCGACTATTTACTACACTTCTCTTGTGTGTTTGGCTTACAGATATACATGTTTATTATATTCTTAAAATTAATGATCCATTACTATTTATTATTTAACTGTATTACTTTTATTTCAAATGTCTATATAATTAATCTTAGAAGTCATGACAAACAAAAAGTAGTGACAAATTAATATAAAAAAAAATTTTTGCGAGTAGAGTTTATGACATTGCTTATATCAATTTCGTCAGACCTATCTGTAGCTATAAACGTTGAAATATTTGAGTTTTCCAAAGATAACATTTAAAACTGCAGCATGTGTGTATTAGATATATTCTTCTTAAAATAATCTCAATATTTGTGAAGTTTACAACAAGTAGAAGTCTTTTAGTTATCTATATTTTCTTATTGTATTTATTATAAAACGTGTTTGAAATCATAATTGCCTTTGATTGAATTTTTTATATTTAGTAACTAAATTGAGTGTGAATTTTAAAACAAATTCATGATTAATGAAATGACATAAAAATTAAATATTTTTTTATCAAATAGAAATTTGGATATAAATTTTTTATTTCTATAATTTTAGACGGTCTTTTTAAAATATAATTTTACAGTTTGTGTCGTCTTGGTTGATATGTAACTTATAAATATCTGAAATAATTTTAACTGTTTTTACTATATGGTTATAGTAATTTTACATAATGATTTAAATATTGATTATATTATATATTCAAATTGTATTATAACACCAGACGTAAAAAAAGTATTTTTATTTGAATATAACTTACATTTCAAATAATAATTTTAAATAATTAATTTTTTTAGCAATTGTCTAGTAAACATGGACGATCGTATGATGGAAAAAATGAATTGATAGACGAAGATTCCTGCTATCGAAGAGAAAGTGGTTTTATTGAATCTTCGTGTTCGAACTCTCATCATGATTCACAAGTAAAAATTCCTCATTTTCCCAAATATTTGAAGGAATTTTTTTTTTATAATTAATGTATATCAAAGAAATAATTATTAGAAAAAGTAAAATTGTTAGTAATTACTAAATTATTACACTTGTTGAACTTAAAAGTAAGGTCCAAGTTTGATTTATGTATAATAGATGTAATTATTTGTACAGGAACTCTATTTATACAATAATATGAGGTATGATAAAAAAATACTAGGATTTTTCAAATAAAACTTTATTAACTCAATATTATTCTATATACACATTATCACCTTCAAAATAATCTCCCTGAGAAGCAATACACCGATGCCATTTTCTTTTCCACTTTTGAAAACATTCCTGGTAGGCACTAATTGGAATGCCCTTTAGATTGATTTCCGTATTTTGTTTTATGTCATCAGTTGTTTGAAAACGACATCCTCTGAGCGTAGATTTTAACTTCGGAAACAAAAAAAGTCGTATGGGGCCAGGTCGGGTGAGTATTGTGGTTGTGAAACTACTGAAGTCTGATTTTTCGCTAAAAACTGACGAATGAGCAATGAGATGTGAGCTGAGGAGTTATCGTGATGCAACAGCTAAGAATCATTTTTCCAATTTTCTGGCCTTTTTTTTCTAACATTTCACGTAATCATTTCATGAATTCTAAATAAAAATGCTGATTTACTGTTTGTCTTTGAGGCACCCATTTACGATGAACTATACTACGAAAATCAAAAAATGTGATTAACATGGCTTTTGATCACCTACTTTGATTTTTTTGGTCTAAGGGAATATGCTGACTTCCACTAGGACGATGGACGCTTGGTTTCAACATCATACCCGTAAATCTAAGTTTCATCACCAGTTATAATATTTTTTAAAAAGTCTAGGTCAGTTTCTGCTCTTTTAAAAAGTTCTTGAGAGGAACATATTTGGCTGCGATTAGGCTCATGCTTAATTCTTTGGTTAATATTTCTTGGCAAGAACTATAAGATATTCTGACGTCTTCTGCAACTTCTCTTATAGTTGATCGACGATTATTTCGAATAATTTCACAAACAATATCAACAATATCATTTATTTACTGGTCGAGGGTCTACCAAGTCGTTCGTTATCCTTAATGGATGTCCTATCTTCCTTAAACCGTTAAAACTACTCGAAACATGTTGTCCGAGACAGAACATCATCTCCAAAAGCTTGCTTCAAAAGTTCAAAAGTTTCACTAGAACTTTTCCCTAATTTAAAACAAAATTTTACGCACATACGTTGTTCTTCTATTGTTTCCATTTCGAAAATCGACGCATGACTGAAACATGTTTTCGTAAAAATACCATGAAATAAAAATATATATTTTTTGGTTTCAAACCAATGCTCAAATTTTCGTTAAAAGTTACTTTATTGAATGAAATTATCGGGATTTTGTTATCATAATTGATGCAAATATTATTAACACAGTCCGGGTATTTTTTGATCACACCTCGTATTCGTATATAAATATTATATACATATAATAAACATTAATAGGTAATGCTCGACCAACAAGGTAATCTTCGAATTATTGTAAAGAAAGTGAAACCATTATTGGGGATTGCTATTGAAGGTGGCGTCAATACTAAACATTTACTTCCCAGAATAATAAATATCCATGTAAGTAAAAATAATACAATTTTCGTGTTACAATTATTTTATAATGTATATTTTAGTGTATCGTTAATAAGCTAACTATTTTAAAATAATCTAAATACTAAATCAGGAAAATGGTGCAGCTTTTGAAGCTGGAGGATTAGAAGTTGGTCAGCTAATATTGGAAGTTGACGGGCAAAAAGTTGAAGGTAATGAATATCATTGTTATTAATAAAAATATGTAATTCTAAATGATTTACTATTTAATCGTCAAAACATTCGAGAACATAAGCAAAATGTTTTTTCATTTTTCAAACATATTTTTAGGTCAATATTCATATTTAAAGGCTAATAAGTTACATTTTGATAGAGCTTTATTTTAATCCATTTTAATATTGGGGGTATTTTTTTAAATAAATTAATTCTTTAAAGAAAAAAAAAATGAGGCATAATAATGTAAAATAATTAATGAATAGAAAAAAAATTATTTGGTTAATTCCGGTTCAATTTTTTTTGAAGGGGGTATAATCTATACTTATTTTTATCGAAAATTATCTTTATCTCTATTTACAATTATTCCTAAATATAGCCATTATTATTATTTATAATACTGTTGACATAACAGGTATGCCTCATCAAGAAGTAGCGAGACTCATCGCTGAATCATTCGCACAAACTAACAAACCTGAAATTGAGTTCCTTGTTATTGAGGCAAAAAAATCAAACTTGGAACCAAAACCGACTGCACTAATATTTTTGGAAAATTAATTGACTGTGAGTAGTGATAAGTTGTTTTGCCGATTACTTGATAAAATTGTTTTATTAAGTTAATTGTAATACATAAAATAATATAAATTAACTATGGTACTTCAAAGATATATATTTTCATTATTTTAATATTAAAATGTATAAATAATTAAAACACTATATAATAATAATTATCAATACAATAATGATTATAATATGTAAATGCTTTTCAGTGTTATTTATACATCAAATAATATTTGGCTTTTATTTCATATTTTTTTCGTCCGCAAACTTCATAAACTTAATTATTGTCTCTATTTTTAATTTTTTAAACACATGTAATTTATATACCATTTAAACAATTCTATCGTAATAATATTATTACAACCAAACCCTGGAAATGTAAAAAAAAATAATTTTAATTCTATTTACCTTTAAAAGCTTGTGTATTATAATACAGAATATTTATTTTATAAATTTCCTAATTAATTTGGTAAATACCAATCCACAAATTAGAGTGCCTACTTTGTAAAATAATTAATAATAACTTGAAAGAAATAACTCAAATCAATATCACGTGATAAGGTTGGGTTTTTAACATGACAAAATCTTTCACGGTTAATTTACTAGTTTTTGATGGGTCAAATCATTAAATTCAATATAAAAGGTTTTTTTTTTTTTATTTAAAATAAAGTATAAATTTCAACTTTCTACTATAGAAACTACTTCAAAAAGATTTATTTTTATAATTTTATAATATTACTAAAAAAACTTAAATACTACATAATTCTATTATTGCTATTCAAGACATTAACAGTACAATACCATCACGCGGGGTATTTCTTTGGTCAATTGACATTGTTCCAACTCTATTAACTGACAGTCGCAGTAAAATATTTAGATAAAAATTTACAGATATCTAAATGGATACAATATATATTTTTACTTTTTTTTATATGAATTTTTTTCTTATATTAAATATTAGTTAACAGTCATAATATTACATTAATGTTAGATTAACAAATATATATGACCGATACTTGAGTTCTATGTTCATTAATATAGTTTTAAATACATTATACCTGTAATATTTTTAGAGTCAAATGTTATTCTTTAAGATTATGAGCTGGCCCTACGCAAGCATATACAGTGGGTAAAAAAAGTATTGACACATTGTGTATTTTTCGAATTTCCAGTCGAAGGAATCATTTTTATTTAATGGTTGTTATACATTATAATAATAATTGATATGTTAATTATTTCTATGCTAAAAAAAATAAATTTTAGCCGAGACATTTTAGTAATAATAATAATAATCTTAAATAACTAATCAATAAATTATTGACACACCGGTTAAATCGTAATTCAAACGGGTCTCTACATGTCCATGGTCTATTTATAGCTGGGTTTTTCTGTTCTACGACTACTTTGATGTCTCTCAGTCAATTAATTTACAGGCATTCGACAAAAAGCGTCGTTATCGAAATGTCTACTAAAAAATCAGAAATCTCCGTTATTTTGCGAGATCGTATTATTTTTTTAAGATCTCAAGGATGGAGCTACCGAGAAATTGGAAATTTAGTAAAAATAAACTTTTCTACAGTACGTTGGATAATAAAACGTTATGAAGAAACTGGTCATATTAATAATAAACAGCGAACGGGACGTCCTAAAATATTTTCTGAAAGAGAAAAACGTGAAATTGCGAACGAAATTCGAAAAAATCCTACAATAAGTGCTCCAGAGTTGGCCGAAAATATTGCTCAATCAACCAAAAAGACATTCCATGTCCAAACTTTAAGAAATGTCTTGCATGAATTTGAGTTTTATGGAAGAACAAAAAGAAAAAAACCTTTGATTACTGAAAAAAATCGCTTAAAGCGACTGGAATTTGCTAGAGAACATATAAATAAGCCTTTAGAATTTTGGGATAAGGTCATATTTACTGATGAAAGTAAATTTAATGTGTTTGGTGGAGATGGACGTCAATATGTATGGAGAAAATCAAACACGGCCTATTTAAGTCAAAATATTGAATCTACAGTTAAACATGGTGGCGGTAGTGTTTTAGTTTGGGGTTGCATGTCCAGCGCTGGAGTTGGAAATCTCCATTTCATTGAAGGTATTATGAATGCCGACGTATATATAGATATTTTGCGATGCAACTTGATGGATAGTGCCACCAAATTAAAGCTGAAAGATAACTTTATTTTTCAGCAGGATAACGATCCGAAGCATTCAGCCAAAAAAACTAAACATTGGTTGCTGTATAATGCACCACGGCAACTGAAACATCCTCCTCAGTCACCAGATCTTAACCCCATCGAACATCTTTGGAGTATTTTAGGTAAAGAAATCCGTAAAATTAAATGCTCGTCCAAAATAGAATTCAAAAGAGTAATCCGCGAAAAATGGCAGGAAATTACCAGAGAAATAACTCAAAATCTTGTACATTCAATGCCTCGAAGACTAGAAGCAGTAATTGAAGCTAAGGGAGGGCATACAAAATATTAAAAGTGATACAAAACATTAATTTTCGTATTTTAAAAAGTAATTGCATTTTTTTCATTGACTGTGTCAATACTTTTTTCATTAGTTATTTAAGATTATTATTATTATTACTAAAATGTCTCGGCTAAAATTTATTTTTTTTAGCATAGAAATAATTAACATATCAATTATTATTATAATGTATAAAAACCATTAAATAAAAATGATTCCTTCGACTGGAAATTCGAAAAAAACACAATGTGTCAATACTTTTTTTACCCACTGTAGTAATAGCTGATTAAATTTCTCTAAATTATAAGTTATATATGATAACTGTTATCATATATTTATTAACATTTCATAAGGTATAATTTATTATAAAATAATTTTAACTTAATGCTAGGTTAGAACACCAATTGTGCACATCTAATACGTTAAATATATTTTTAAAAATTCTATAATTACCATTATAAAAAAAACCAATGTATTTTATAAGTATACGTTAGCACCAAATATTAAAAAATAGTACGACGTCGCATCTATAAAGTCTAAGATTTATCGGAAACAGACTAAACATTTATACGTTTACTTATCTTTACCGAATATTGAAATAATTCGTAGTGAACTTAATTTTTATGGGAATAGTCAAATTGTAGTAATTTGACTATTCGTATATAACCGGGAATTAAAGAGACCAAAATAGCACAGAGGAGACTGATCCTTGCATCTCTTTAAGCTTTCAGTACATCCTTAATACTTTTATAATAATTTTGCAGGAATATTAAAAGAGACCTATTGATACGAGAGGACTAAGTACCTCTTGCCGTCCCATTTTACACCCATTATTAGAATCAGAATTCTATTATTTTTTTTGTGGGGTGGTGTCAAACACAAATTTTCTGACTTAGTACTCATCAAAAGAGTGTAATGAACAAAAAATAATAATATTTAACTTGTTTGTAAATTACGATTAGGACTAAAATGAACAAAATTACCGACTTACGCTCAGAAAATCCGAAATAATTTCGGATCATAAATTTGTGTTAAATAAATGGTGGGGATAGTTAATGTCTCTTATAGAATCCCTAATATTTAGGTAAATTGAATTCGACCCTACAAGATACGATTCTGCATGTTACAACGAAAAATACGTACAACGCATAGCCTTAACACAATTATTCTTGTAGAAATAGAATGCACGAATTTATTACAAATTCATAAAAAAATTTCATCCATGTTGTAAGACTGGCATTCAGACTCAAAATGTAATTTTATTAAAAAAAAATCTTTTATATGTATGTAGTATATTTTTAGCAAATTTATTATATTTTAATAATTTTCTATCAGAGCAAAAAGAATTTGGTTGTGTTTTTCACTTAATTTTTTTTCAATCAAATGTCGCAATTCATTATTATCCTATTAGAGCATTAAACATTTAGAGCAACTAAAAATAATACTGAAATATTTTTTTAGTTAAATTAATACTTTTTATTGATTAAGTTTATTAAAGAAATCTATTATTCCATCGGTGCATTTATTTCTTGATATGTATTAAGAACTTTATATATATATATATATGCACTTAAACATAGTACATTAATATTAATTTATAATATACATACAATACATATGCATTGTTATAAATCAAAGATGTATTTTAGAAATATTTAATATTGTTATCTTATTTGTACAAATTATTTTTTAATTATAATTGTTATTTGTTGAGAATAGGTATTTAACTTTAAAAAAATTATACATATATATAAATATATATATTATATACCTACAATTATGTGAAGTATTTATTTTAAATTATATTATGATGCAAATATAAAAAACTATAAACATGCTAATCTGTATTTTTTAATTACTTTAGTCTTGTTTAAAATAATAAACTGTAGTCTATAATTTTTAAATTATCGTATCTGTTACATATAATAGCTACGTTTGACAAATTGTACATATGAGGTGTGTTCAAAAAAACACAGGAATAATTAAAATTCGTGGGTTTGGCGATTAATTATTAAAAAAAATTTTCATAATTTTAGTTCACATGTCCCTGAAGTATGATAGAATTTGTAATATGATTCATTTTTTACTTTGTCAGTGGCAGTCTATAATATTAGACGTGTTTTATGAACTCGGTGATTTTCTTTTGTTAAAAAAAATGGATCAAAAGATTTGTATCAAATTTTGCGTAAAAAATGAAATAAAGTGTAACAATGTGTATAAAATGTTATCAAAGCTCAATGGTGAGTCTGCCATGAGTTTATTGTCACAAGGATTTACAAGTGGTGAAAGCGTTTCCAAGATTGCTTTTAAGATAACGAACACCCTGAACGCCTCACCACATCAAAATCCGATGGAAACATGGAAATAGTGTAAGAAATGCTTATGAACAATCACTGAATCACAATCGGAAAAGTCGCTGATGATGTTGGATAATCGATTGGTCCATTTTATAAATTTTTTTTGTATGTTTTGGGTATAAAACGCGTAGCAGTAAAATTTGTTCCAAAATTGTTGAATTTTGAACAAAAACAGCGGCGATGGAAGTTGCTAAGGAGTCACTTACTGAAATCAACGACGTAGCAGAATTACTGAAACGTGTTATAACAGGTGACGAAACATAGATTTATGGATACAACGTCGAAACTAAGGTCCAATCATCTCAGTGGAGGCATTCTGGATCATCAAGACTGAAGAAGGTGCGATCGAACGTGAAAGTTATGTTAACTGTGTTCTTTTATTTTAATAGCTTAGTGCATCATGAATTATTGTCACGAGATTAATAAGGAGTACTAACTACAAGTTCAATGCTGTTTGCGTTAAGTACTCCGAAAAAAATTTGAATTTATGGCAAAACAAATCTTTTGCATTACAATTTTGCACCTGCTCACACTTCATTGCTAGTTCGTGAATTTTTGACCAAAAATAATACTGTAACGATGCCTCAGCCTCTATATTCGCCAGATATGGCTCCGTGTGACTTTTTTCTATTTCCAAAAATAAAGAGAACTTTAAAGGGTCGTCGTTTTACAAGCATAGATGACATTAATAGCACATCGCCGAATAAGCGGATGGCTATCCCAAAGATGGAGTTTAAGAAATGTTTCGAAGACTGGAAGAAACGTTAATAAAAGTACATAATATCTAATGTGGTCTTTTTTGAAAACGACATCATTAATGTAGACGAATAAATAAATAATTTTTTCAAAAAAAGAAAATTCCCGTTATTTTCTAAACACACCTCGTATTTTAATAAGGGTACCACAAAACAATTACGTATATAAAGAAAAAATTTGGGTTGGAACATACATTTAATAAACGAAAGCATTCACATTGGAAATTATTATTTTTTAATTATCCAATGTTCTTACTACCATAAAAGACTTTGAGCATATGTGCACAAGGAAATGGAAAAGTTTCGAAATCCTTTAAAGTTGATTTTTGAGAAACTTTATATAAAAAAAAAATGAATTTATTACCATAAGTTTTAGCTCAATTTACAAGTTTGAAATTGACATCATTAAATGGGAAATTTCATGAGAATTAAAAAAATTCTATCGTTAAGATTAATATGCAGCCAGGAAATTTTATAATTACTATTTATAGTAAATTTATCAGAAAATCTCAATATTTTTTTAAATTTTTATTGTAATAGATAACTTAAATATAAATAATAGCATTCATTTCCTAGTAACTTTTGGCGTTTAAAAAGATTCTACAATTGAAATATATAGAACTGAATTAATTTTAATGATTTACTTTAACTAAAAAACTAATCAAAAAAAATTTGTTAAAAAGATCTAAAAATCTATTGTTAATTCAGGAGAAACTAACAATCATATTTTTTTAGAAATGATTTATATAGCAACATGTTACCAAAAAATTTGGAATATTATTGTCTTGTAGTCGTACACATAAGAATTATTAAATTACAAAGTACAATGATATAATTTTGTAATTGAAACCTATCATATCTAACTTAATTCATCAAAAATACTTTGAAAACATTATAAATAAATGATTTTACTTGTCTGTATGGAGAACATGGGATAAGTAACTGTTTAATTGATAAATTAGAATTTTTTTCAATTTTTGAGGGTAATATCTTCAACTAGATACGAATTGAAATCATTTGACGTATCGTTGAAAAATGTAGTAGAGTAGAGAAAATAAATGATAGTCACAAAAAAATACCTTTTCAGCTTTGCAAAAAAGCTAAAACCTAAAAAAATATAGTAAAATAATTTTAATATGAATAAGAAATTTCTCCTGGTGAGGGGTGACTACAGTGATAGGATTCTTGATCTTTATTGAAGTTATTGAATCTAAATGAGATAAAAGTCAAACGAGTTGAAAATTTATTTATTTACTCAGTATAAAAAGAATTAAGAAAAAAATGCAAAAAATTTAAATAAAAAATAGCATATTTTTAAATACGGTAGTCATTTTCACTATGAAGACAAAACCAAAGGTCATATTTTTTTTTCAAATTAAAGTATATTACATAAGCTTTAATTTAAGATATATATAAAAGTTTCAGTATTTCCAGAACACTTTCAAAATTTAAATTGGAATATTCTAGTTTCATTACGTATGTGTAAAGTTTTGACCCCCCTTTTATAAAGGGGTATAATCCGATGTATAAAACAAAAGTGTCAGATGAAAAGAGTATATAAATATTATTTGTAATAAAATAATAATATTGATCCATAAATTTTTCAAAAAGTTATAACAATATAAATTTAAAAATATAAAAAGCCCAGAACAGGGTGGTTGCGGTATAATGGTGACGTGGCATAGCTGGGTCAAGTATAATATCTGACAGTGATTAAAATTACTATCATAAAAAACGATGCAAATCTTGAAATAGTGTTTAATATTAAAAATTAGTGGATTATTACAAAAACTAAATGATTATGCTATTTCCTTATTTATATCTTGATTAGAGATAAAGTATGTCGAATGAAAGATGTATAAAAATATTACTTTTCATGAAAAAATTGTATTGATCCATACAGTTTTCAAAATTTTATAGCATAATAAAGTTAAAAATGTAAAATATAAAATCGAGAATTTTTTCACAAAAATGGCATATTTTGGCATACAATAGTCATTTTTACCATATAGACAATGTCAGCTTCGATGCGAAACTGAAAAGGTATTGGTTTCACTATGCTTTTTTTTTTTGTGTGTCTGTTACCACTTTTTCTCAGCTCTCACCGAACTGATTTCTTTCAACGATACGTCAAAAGATCACAAATCGTATCTAGTCGAAGAAATTATCCTCAAAAATTGAAAAATTTTCCCTCGTTCCCCGTAAATGGGGTAAATTACTAAAAAAATTACAATAAAATAGCATTTGGTAGCCATTTTCACCGTGAAGACAAAATAAAGTCTGAAAGTTTTTTTCATTGATAAAGTATATTGCATTAGCTTTAATTTAAGATATATATAAAAATGTTAGACTTTCGGGAACACTTTCAAAAGTGAAATTAAAAAAGTTGTTATTCTAAATCCCCCCTGTGGGCAGGTAAAGTGTCAGATTTACAAAAAAAAATATACTAAATGAAAGGTAAAAACATCATACATCTATAAAAAAAAATATGGTTTATGTTTCAATTGACATAATAAAACCTTGTTTTTCAATAAATCCATCAATAGAAAAAGATAGCTGTCAACAACATCATTTAAATACAGTTAACAGTTCCAGCAATCCACAATCAACATCAAATGTAAAGGTAGAGAAAAAATCTATTCGTTTTGAACGACTTGTACGTTTTTCAAAAAAATTTCTACCGTGACTTTCTTACTAGGAAGGGAGTATTGTGGCGACTATTTAAAATTATTGTGTTTTTGCATGATTGTAAAATTGTACTTTTATCTGTTATCTGTGATTTTAGATGTTAAGTGTAATTTTTACCAGTTTTAGCGTTGTAACATAAAAGTAGCGTTTTTGTTTATAATGTAAAGGGATATTGTTTTTTTTATAATAAATATTAATTTTATGTAAAACAGACAATAGATAAATTATTATACATTGTCGTACAAAATGTAAACTACAGCTATCATTTATTTTCTCAGCTCTCGACTAATATTTTGAATGATACGTCAAATGATCACAAATAGTATTTAGTTCAAGATATTTTACCTGAAAAATTAAAAAAATTTTATAATACGTTCAATTGAGTAGATTCTTTTAACAACTTTTTGTTTTGCGTTTTTAGTAACTCATTAAAATTAATTCAGCTCTGTATATTTCATTTGTAAAATATTTTTAAAATCAAAAGTTACTTAGAAATTATTACTATGATTTCTATTTAAGTGATCTATTACGATAAAAATTGAAAAAAATATTGAGCTTTTCTGATAAATTTACTATAAATAGTAGTTATAAAATTTCCTGACTATATATTAATCTTAACAATAATATTTTTTTAATTCTCAGAAAATTTCCTATTTAATAATGTCAATTTCAACTTGAAGTTGAGCTATAAGTTATGGTAACAAATTCAAATTTTTATCATTATAAACTTTTAAAAAATCAACTTTAAAAGACCAAAAAATAGGTTACAAATGTCATTTTGCACTAATTATTTTTAACATATTAAAAATCAAAATTAGTAATAATTTGAAAAAAAAAAATGTTTTCTAATTATTATTCTATATGTAAATACTCATTTTTCACTAATTAGTAATAATATCAAACATTAGAATAACTTGAAAATGTCTAATTGCAGATTTAAAAACAGCGCGAAAAATTAATTTCGAAATGTATATTTTTGATTATGATGAAAGTTCCTTGTAATTCAGTGTATTTATTCATAAGCAACAAAAATTTTTTTTTTGAAAAGTATTGCATCAATCCTTTTAAATTTTTATACACGTTAAAAGTAAAGAAATATACAACTACTTTATTATTTCTATAATTTCTCTGTATGAATTACAATATTAAATTAAATATCAATTTCATTCTAAATTTAATCACTATAGGTAGTATTTATTCAAATATTATACTTTTAAATCAAATAAGCACTAATCAGGATATAATTAAGAAAATAAGAGTTGATGTTGCTTTTGTAATTATCCAATTTCTTAGAATTAAACACTATCTACAGATTTGCATTGAAGCGTTTCTTATGTTAGTGATTTTAATCACTGTTACTGTCAAATATCGGCTAAACTTGTCCCAACTATACCACGTCTATACTGTGCCGCAAACCCACTGTGCTACCGTTTTTTTATTGGTTTCTTTTTTAAATTTTTGAGAACCGTGAATTTTATAAATCTTGTCAGGTATATCGTCATTTAATTATGTTTTATTATTGTGTCGTACTCTTTATCTTAAAATAATTATAATTATGTGCGTCTTATATAGATAAGAAAAAATAGTACCTTTAAATTACAGAGAATATGTAAAAATTAAGTTTTGATAAGATTGTTGGTTACTCTATTTTATCAATGTTCAGCTGTATTGTGTGAAAAGTAATTTACTTTTGGATATTTAAAAATAAAACAAAGTTTTGATTTTAAAAATTTATAAAATGTTCTATAAGTCCCCTTAAAGGACTAACATGGTATCTACGAGCAGAAAGAAAAAATAAAAACAAATTTTGTTCCAGAGCAATTTCTCTATTTAAAAATAATTCTTAAATTTATGCCTACTTTAAAATATAGCACGCACATAAGTAACATAATACCGCCATAACATAAAAGTGTAGTGTGGTTTGTGATTTAACTATAATATCATTTACAATTTGATTTCATTATTTTAATTATTAATTTTATAAATTTGATAACATCATTATTTTCCTTTTCTATAATTAAGTAGTCAAACGACTTAGTAATGAAGGATGTCTACGTCAGTATTACATGGTCGACTAAAAGCTAGTATCAAGAACTGTCTTATCTCCCAAGGCTCAATCAGTGCTGGTAAATGTTGTTATCATTATGATTATCAAATAACATTACTAGAAGATAAAAATATAAATTCAAGAAAATAAACGATGGTGTTAAAAATTTCACTGTTATTACCTAATTATCCAATTACTTTTTTGCAAAGTTAAGCACTCATAAATTATCCTCATAAAATGTTAATTATTTTCATCTGTAATATAGATTAAGTGATTGATTAAAAAAAAATACTTTCGAATTTCGTATGAAAATTAAATACAACTATATAACTGCTAGTTACCTAGGTATTGTCTTTACCAAAATTAAATTATTCATTAATTATGTCCTTGAACACAATTAATCAATGATATATACCCTGCTCAATGTTATGAATATTTATTCAGTAGGTATTATTAATTAATATTCAATAGTTTGATTTTATAAAATAATTATTATTATAAAGTTTTATAGGGAACATTTGAGCAGTTGCTATTTCTGCTTTTTAATTTATCTTTATTGTCTAAATATTTATATATTATTAACACATTTTATTAGATCGTGTTAACCAGACTATCTAATTGAATATTATCTAAGAAAAAAAGTCTACTTTACATTAAAGTTGAATTGTCAACATGTCTATTGAAGAAAGATTTACAGCAGCTGTCAATGTCATCAGAAATCTCCCTAAAAATGGTAAGATTTCTTTAATAACAAAGTGATCTTAAAAATATTTGGTAATTTCTAATATTTGAGAATCAATAACCAATTTTAAGTGTTATTATAAAAAGTTTAAAAAAAAAACAGTAGCACAGTGTGGATGTGAAATAGTTGAGACAAGTATAAATGATATCTGGCAGTAATTAAAATCACTATCATAAGAAACACTTTGATGCAAATCTGTAGAGAGTAATTAATTTAAAGAAATTAGTGAGTTATTCCAAAATAAAAATTAACTCCTATTTCCTTCATTATTCTTAATTAGTAGTTCTATGATTTATAAATATAATATATGAATAAATATATATTATAGAAATTCAACATAATATAAAATTGATGTATAATAATTAGGTATTGTAATTTTTACTGAAAAATTATAAAAAATTATAAAGCAGTTGTTACTTTTATGAGTAAATACAAAATATACAATGTATATACAAAATGTATTAGAAGATAATTTGTTGTTAATTATGAATAAATGGTCTATAAGGAATGGTTTATAAATGTCAAAAAATATACTTTTCTAAACCTATTTTTTGTGTTAGTTTCCAATCTGTAACTATATTTTTTCCATTACCACTAATTTTGAATATTATTAAAAATTAGTTAAATATGAGTATTAATATATAAAAAAATATAGGTTAATAATCAACAACACACAAGTGGACGAAATCATATTTGAAACTAGGAATGGTGTATTTTTGAATATCAGTACATTATAGAATATTATAGGATATAACTATACGAAATATAGTTCTAAATATTTCTAATGTAGCATCTTTTTAAACACCAAAAGTTACATAGAAATGATTACTATCACTTCTATTTAAATGATTTATTACAATAGAAATACAAAAAAAATGTGACTTTATTGAAGTTTAGAGTTTTCCATATAATTTTACTGTTGATAGTAATTATATAAGTTCCTGATCGCATATCAATCTAAAAAATAACATTTTTTACTTCTCATAAAATTTTCTATTTGAGAATATAAATTCTAAACTTGCAAGCTGAGCTAAAATAGTATTTATAGGTTCAAAATTTTAGAATTATAAACTCATAATAAATCAACATTAAAGGATAATAAGTTAAAAATGACATTTTAAATTAAAATTTTGCACGGATTATTTTTAACATTAAAAATTAAAAATTTATTCAATATTATGTTATAATAACAAGTATATTTTAATAATGAATTATGTTTAAAAGTTATAAACTAATGTTAATATTTTGTCACAATTTTTTTTGTAATGTGAACAAAAAACTAATTGATATTTTTGAAACATGTATTTTTATTTGCATGAATTAATTCAAGATTGATTTTAACATCATTTTATAATTATCTAATTTATTAAGTTAGTGTATAAAGATTTACTCATTATTTTCTCATTTAATTTAAGTTATATATAATTTTTTTTATAAATTGATGAATGTATGGAGAATGGATAGATCATAATTTTTTTATTCTTTTGTATCTTGGCAAGTTTTTTTTTTTGAGCGGACTTATTTTTAAGATTAAGTGCTAATTAGTAAATTTTAAATTCACTTGAAAAATATTTAAAATATTTATACCCCTTTCTCATCAGTAATTTTCAATAGAATTTTTTTTTGTAAATTTAGTATTTATTAAGTTTATTTTTTTACTTGTATCAATTTTTTAATTTTTTTTATAGGTAATTTTATGATAGATTAAGTAAAATTTCACTCATTATGTATGTTATTAGAATATAATTTTAATGGTTTCTTTTTATTTTAAGTGATTTCTTAGTGTTTGTGGGAGACAGAATAATAAAACTAATAGGAACGCCAAAACTTTTCATTTAAATGTATATTTTATAATAATCTCAAAGTATATTTAGTGTTTTCTTATCTTAATAAAACTATTTACCTGGCTTCTATATTTTGTAGTCCTTCTTTAAATAATATTTTTAGTTTAACAATTAAAATATGCAGGAAATAATGAAGTGTGATTTGTTTTACATTTATGTGTAATTCTGCTTAATCAGCAATTAAAAATTTACTACATAAAACCCATTCAGCCCCACACAATAATAGAGAAACATATAAAATATGTTGTTCTTGCAATAAAAATGTTTTTTTTATATGGAAGGGGATATACTATATAAAAAAGTGATAATAAAAAGAAAAAGTGATACAAATGTTTTAACTATGTTTAAGTTTACAATTATTGTTAATTATTTTGACAATATATCAATATTACTAAAGCTATTCAAAAAAATTAATCATATATAAATTTTACTTTATTTTCAGGTCCATATCAGCCATCAAATGAATTAATGCTTAGATTTTATGCATATTTCAAACAAGCAACTTTAGGTCGTAATACTCAGTCTAAACCACATTTTTGGGATGTAGTTAATCGAGCAAAATGGCAAGCTTGGTGCAATTTAAAAGATATGTCAAAAGAGAAAGCTATGGAACTTTATGTAGATGAATTAAAAAAGGTAAAAAATGTTGGCAGCTATATACCAGTGAAATTTTTTTTAATATAAATATTATATTTTTAAATGATAAATTTTCAATAATGAATTATACAATTTTAAATGTAAATGTCATTTATTTCATTGGAATGTTATTTATTTATATTTTATTTTGTTATGTTAATGCAACAAATAAGTAATATAATTCTGATATTAAGGTTGAATTTGAGTGCTAGAAATAATTATTAGATATAATATATCCAATTCTCATATCATGAGAACTTCAACAAAATATGTTAAGGTCAAAATAAATATAAAAATGTAATTAGTATAGTAAAAAAAAGAGTACATATTATTAATTTGTTTTATTTATCTTAGATTGTAGAAACTATGGCTTATACCGATTCTGTTGCTGATTTTATATCCAGTCTCGATCCATCATCTGATTTTTGTTCAATTGATGACTTAAAATTAGTTGTTGGAGTAACAAATGATAAAAATATTATTAGTGGTATAATTAATGCTAATATTTTTATAGTTATCACACAAACAAGAATCTAGGCAAAATTTATACATTTTGGAACAATATTATTTTTTATTCAGAAATGCACAATGTTGGCTCATCAAATTAATAAAATATAATTTTATTATAGTAAAAGAAAAATATTTTAAATAAAAAATATCCCTCATATTTATTTAGTTACACAGCTAAGTAGCATAATAATACATAATAAAAAAAAAAAAAGTTGTCAGTTGCATAGGTGAGACGGGTCTTTTTTAAGTATTCTGATGTCATTGAATGCAATTCTGTGAACAAATATCAATATTTCCATTTTTTCATGTATTGGTATTTTTGCTTTAATTAATCTAATTTTCAATCATTCTGTATCAAATTTTTATAGAAGTAAACTAACACTAAAAATAGTTAATGTTAACAGTTAAATAATTAATAAACAGTTTTATATATTTTTTGTAAATTTTTAATTAAACTATTAACTTTTAAAAATGAAAAATAAACGTTATCATAAAAATAAGATCTAGGACAATTCATTTTTAGAATCAGTGACACAGGAATACTTAGAACAGGCCACATACAATCTTGCAACTTACAACTTTTTTTTGGTCAGAGTATTTCTTTCCTAATTAAGCAACATTCTTTTAAAATATATTCACAAATTGAATTATACTATTTGAAAGGGTTAAGAGTAGTCAGGTGAAAAAATTAGTTTTTTTTTTTTTACAGTTATTAATTTACTTTATTTAAAAAAATAAATAAATTATTGGAGACCAAGTTATAAATATAATTGTTAAACTCCTTTAACAAACCATGCTTTACATTGACTATCATAAAATTTTACTGGTTCATATGAAATTATTTAAACAAAATTATTTTATGCTTTTAATATGCAGTATAAATCCATCTAGTGATTTCTGAATTATAGTGGTTACTAAGAGCCAAAAATATAGCCATAATATGTTTTACATTTATTTTTACTTATGTCAAATAATTTTAGTATATAATTTTATAAAATTGTATTACTTGTATAAAATAAATTAGACTTGTCAAAACAATATGTACAGAGTGATTCTGTATTTCCCGCTCAAATTATCAAAAAATGAAGTATTAATTTTTTATTAGTTTCATTTAATTCAACGTTTCTTTCAATTTTTCTATAATAAAATTTTTTATATTCATCCCTTATACCTTATAAGGGTGTCAAGTTAAATTTTTTAAATGGCAACACTTCTAATTAACTAGCTTATTTAATACATTATGATTTAATTAAATAAATGGCTGTTCAATAACAATTTTTGGACCAGTATTTTGGAAGTTATTAACAGCTTAAAGTAATAACTGGAGGTGAAGAGTAGGTGTTGCTATTTGTATAACTGAACACTTTCAGGCCATACTCTTCCTCTCACCTAGATATAAATATGTCGATAACTCTGGTACTTCCTCTTAGTGCACACTGTAATTGAAAAACTGCTAATCAGATTTAAATGAAATTTATACTGTAAATTAATAGCATAAAACAATTTTGTTTGAATAATTTCATATCAATAAATACAATTTTATGATTGTCAACGTAATGCATGGCTTGTTCAACAATTATATATATAACTTGGTTTCCAATAATTTATTTATTTTTTCAAATAAAGTTAAAACATAATAAAATAACTTTGTATAATTTTTTTTATAAAATAAATAAATTACTGTAAAAAAAATAAAAACAATTTTTTCACCTGTCTACTCCTAACCCTTTCAAATAATATAATTTAACTTGTGAATATATTTTAATATTCTTTATAAGGTATAAAGGATAAACATATGAAAATTTTTATGGTTGTAAAATTGAGAGAAACATTGAACTAAAAAAAACAAATAAAAAAATAATTTATTTTATTTTTATTTTTTCGATTAATTAAACAGTTCTTGATAAGTGAATCTGTATATATATATATATAACACTCATTTATTCATCATTCTAAATACCCTTAACCTCTTCATTATCATTACGTTTCAGACAAAAATATCTTATCCCTTTCAAAAACATCACTACATGACACAGATACAGATATTGATGATGAATATTTTCATGATGTTATGGAAGTTAGTTATTATAAACTATTTTCAATCATAATAAATATACTACTGTGTCCATTTGTATATTTTAGTCAAATGAAAATCATGAAATTGAAGATCAAGGAAAAAAATATGATAGCAGTTTGAAACAAATAGAGAATATCTCAAATTTTAATCAAAATTCTACTTCTTTATGTCAATCGAATGGTATTACTCGGACTGCTCAGAAGTTTGAACTAATAGAAAGTAAAGATAAATACTTAATAGTATATGTTATTATTTACTATTAACTTATTTAACAAATTTATAAGGTGATTTTCAAGTACAAATTAGGTCAACAGTTGCAAATATAAACAATGATTTACGTGATATAGCCTTGAAAGTATCTCAACTAGAATCAAAATTAAAAACCCAAGTAATTATTTCTTGTTTACAATCTCTATAATTTACTGAAATAAAGTATATACTTTTTGATCATAGAATAATATTATGACAAGAACAGTTAATCTATTTAACAATCAAATATTATGGCAGTTAATTCTTATATTAGGATGGCCGATTGTAGTTCAATTATTATTTATTTTTCTTCAAAAGAAAAATAAACATAAATAAAAAGGTAAACTGTTAACATACATTTTATAATATATAGCTTTAACAAAAAAATGAATGACAATTTTTGCATCAAACATTTTTTATTAAAAATTTGTTTGACATAGATGTTTACAATTTTTATATTTTTTTTCTTCTTTTTTCTTCGCCTTAATTCTAATTACTTGGGGTTAACTACCCTTATCCTAAACTTCCACTTAACACAATCTCCCATTACGTCTACACTCACATCAGGCATCCTCATAACGCATTCAATAGCATTCCTCTATCTTATTTTTGGTCTTCCTCTACCTCTTCTTCCTTCAAAATTCATTTCTATAACTGTTCTTACAGCTTCCAATTTCTCTCTCTTCATAACATGATCAAACCATCTAAGTCTATTTTCTCTCATCTTATCGACGATTGACGCTACATCTATACTCCCTCTTATATGCTCGTTCCTTATCCTATCTTTTCTAGTCACTCCAGTCATCCATCTAAGCATTTTCATCTCTGCTACACTCATTCTTATCTCTAATCCTTGTCAACCTCCCAATACTCTAAATCATATATCATAGCTCGTCTCAATACAACCTTATAGAACTTACCTTTCAGCTTCATTGAAATTAAATTTATATTATAAAATATTAAGGTAAATTTACCTTAAAAAGGTAAATTAACCTTCACAGGAAAGGTAAATAAGATTAACTCTTTTATACTAATTAATAATAAATCAAATTTTTCAAGACTAGTGAAATTAGTAAGCTGAAACAATAAAAATCCCCTGATATTAAAGTAATACTTGATTATTTAATTTTTTTTATGTACCAATAATTGCCCATGGACATTCTTTACAATATGTGATATTTGTAATAATTATTATATTACACATACAGAATGATTCCTTAACTATACCTGACAAAATATTTTTGAAAAAGTAAAAGCTACTTCCTTTTTTTATGTAACAATAATGATTACTTAAGCTACTTTATGAGAAAAATTAAATTCCTACTGCCATTTCATTTGCCTTAAACTATCATCCAACTTTAGTTTTCAGTGACACAAAATTTTAACTTGAAGTTTACCCTGAATCAATGCTAAAATTAAAATATCTTTGAGAGGACTTCTTCACATTTTACCAGACTGCATAAAATTTGTTAATTTGTATTAAAGTTAATTTGTGATGGTTTTTTTATATTATATTGATGTTATGTTGAATATTTAAATAATTTTCTGTAAAAAAAAATTGTTAATTTTTTAATTTGTTAATTATTATTTAAATTTTATACTCTCTCTTATTTGTAGTACATATTACAAGTAATATGAATAATTTATACACATGTAGTGACACGCTACATATTTTTTTACTGTTTTAGAATTTTGTTTTAGATTATTTTTTAAATTTTACTTTTCTATTTTATTACTAATGAGAAACAAGCTGTCCATATTACGTATATTTATGATTTTTTGATACATCACACAATGAATTTTTCTTTTTTAAAATTTACAGTTAAACTATTTATATTTTTACAATAGTTTTATTGAATATGATATAAATTTTTTATACATGTTATCATAAATATAATGTTTATCATTTTTTAATATTTTTGTGTAATAGAAGCCAATCCCCACCATATTGAATATAATTTCATTTTAAAGAGACTTGATTTTGCTCAATAATATGTTAAAATATTACAAAACGTATTTAGATAAAGTTATCAGTTAAATAATTTAATAAAAATTCAAGGTAATAATGAGAAATGTCTCAAAAAAATATATTTGTCATAATCGATTTTGATATTTTTATTGTTTTACTTTATTTATCTATGTCTAAATATATGTTACGATATAATTGTGATAATAAGAGGTTATGGGATTTAAATAAAAAATATTTATAAATTAAATTTAGTTTTTTTAAAAATCAATTTTAATACGCTTGTCCGTTTAAATAATTTGTCTCTTGTCTAAAGTAGGTACCTTTAAAATACTTTTGTTTTTTTTTAAGTAGTAAATATGTAAAATATTGTACTAATATTGATAGATTTTAGCGACTATTTTCATCATTTAAAATCATCGATGAATTCATTTTTAATTATGATTATGGTTATATTCAGATATTTTACACTCAATTCTCGCATGTATTGGTTAAAATAATTTCTTAGTATTTATAAAACTTGACGTTTTAAAATAAGTACCGAGGTCTGTGGGGCTGTCACGTACTTTTCTCGTCATATGACGAACCCGGTTACAAAAATCAGAGGCGATTAGAGAGAGAGGTCTATTTCTACGATAGACGACTTGGTTTGTGTTTCTACTGATGATTCTGAAATTTCCTAGTTATCAAACTTCAGAAATTTAAAAGAAATGTTTGTATATGAAAGGTAAAATATATATTAAGCTTGAGGTTGTTGCTGATTGTGCTAAAAACGGGTGGAAACCTGCAACTTAATTCTGTAAAAGAAATTCCATAAAAACAGCCCTGAATGACGAAATGTCATAAAAACCTTTGAAAACGTTTTGTTATGACATGATAATACAAAATTTGTTCTTGTACATCTTCCTCAATAATAATTGAGGAACTAGAACACGTAAATTGTCTGATAAGTGACATCACAAGTAAACGCCAATCTATTCTGTGACTATTAACCTTATAATTCTTTCACTTGTTATCTGGTAATTCAGATAAAAGTGCATATCTTGGTAAATTGCTGATCCTGTAATGATAGGTAATCAATTTACTAAAAATTCGTGCAATAACGGTCATGAGCTTTCAAGCGATGTGATAAACCAATTGCAATCTCGTACGTGTAGTCCCAAAACCCTACGACCTCGGTCGAAATTTTTTCTTTTTAATTTCAATACTTTTTTTGAAACATACATCATTAATATTTTTTAATTAGAAGCACATAAATTATTAAGTATGATAAGATCATTGTTTTTGATATTTTTTAGTTTCATATATTTATGAATTATTAATTAGTTTTTTAATTCATTCTTTCTAAGGGCGTCAACGTTATATTTTTAAATGGCAACATACATATTTTACTAGCAAATAAAATCAAAGGTAAATTAGATGATTTAATATATAAATAAAGAAAATGGCTGGCCGATAACAAATTTTCAGTCTTTGGAAATTTATTAAAACTTTTATATCTAGGTGGGAAAAAAAGTGCGCCCGAGAAATAAGTATTGTCACATCAGCGCTTTACCTCTTGTGTATATTTTATAATAATAATTTCTTCGGAACCAGTAACATGAAAAACTTCTCTAGTGAACTTAAAATTAGTCAGACAGTAAAAGAAAAATTCTAGTAAAACTCGCTAAATTTTGTTATTACGAGCACGTTCTAAATTATAGGTACACAATTATGTCGCATATTTTGCGTGCAACTTTACACATGATCTGCATTACAATAATACTTTCACCGCGTATTTTAATTTTTCTCTATCTTGCCATTAATTTTTAATTTCACAAGTTTTGTCTTAAGTCTGTTGCAGTCGCAGCTGATTATAAATAATAAAATTATATTTGCTTCCATAAACTAATAAAATTGTCATTTGTTATTCCATTAAATTTCAAATTATTACCATGCAAGTTTGAAAAAACATAAATTAAAAAAATTAAGTTTTATAAAAAATTATAATACAGTTATAATTGTATTGCTGTAAATTAGACTTCAATAAGAAGTCTATTTTTTTTTGTGTAGACAACTGAGGACAGAAATGTAAACCTCTGCCCTTGAATTATATTTGCTATATATTTGAATGTTGATATTAATCCAAATATCAAACGATTGTGTTATCATTTTCGCCTACTAGCATATTCGATTTAACAAATTAAAATAATGTTATTATGATATTGTTAAACAATCCGAGTACCTTGGCGATGTACTATGGCCAGGTTTAACCCAGATGTGATAGCTGACATTGTATAGGCGTTAGTGTTGTCTTTTATTTTCTTGGAACAATTTTTTCACGTGGGAAATCCTAAACTAGCAGTGTTAGCTCAAAGCAAAATTGAAGTTCAGTGAATGTTGTTATTCTTAATGCATCAATTGGATCAGTGGGAGTTTAACAGAGTACCTTATTACTATGGTGTAACCATAAGAGTAAAAGTATACTAAACGCATATTTTTTCAATTTTGCAAATTCTTCACATTGTTTGCTACTATACAAAAAATATATCGCTAATATAAATAATGATGACTACTTTTGGAGTTATCCAGGTAGGCATTATACGTGTACATATTGCGCAAAAACGAATTCACAGATATCTTCGCATTTTATGTTTTTGTTTACAATATTCTGTGAATTGTGTTGCATAATACCACAAAATATTCACGTTTAATCCAAATAAATATTTATCGGACTATAAAAGTTTAAATGTTATTCTATGTAGTAATTAAGAAAATATAAGTACAATAATAAAATTGCACAACTGTACCACTGTTAATATTTTTTTTTATATGAATTATATATGTATCTTTTCAATTTATCCTATTATTCTAATGGACTTAGCAGATAACGAATATTTTCAGCAATTGACTTTAAATTAAATATTTATTCTGTTAACAATGTCAATTCTTACTATTTGTCTTCGTATTTTTTCTTATAGTATACAAGGTTGAATTTAAATTATACGTGTTAAAGCAGTACAAATATATGTCTGAATCACCGGGCAAAGCCCAATCGTTAAAGTTTCAAGAAAATGTTCAAGTTCCTTAGGTCGTTTATGATCACCATTAATTATGTATTAAAATATTATAATGTAATACTTAGAAAATACTGTGATATAATTAAAAGTACAGCTGCACATAAGTTGAAATACATCAGTTTAAACCACTAATTTTTAACAAATAAAAAGTTGTATAGTTGTTGTAACATGTGACTAGCTTTATTTGTTATCCCGTAGCAATACATTTAACAATGCTTCGCATTCGTCAGTTGTCATTAGTTGAATGAAAAATTTAATTACTGTCATTATACAAGTTTGTTTACATGGTAGAGATTGGCATGAATCATGTAGTTTCTATTAAAGTATTAGTCATTCATAAAAACATAAAAAAAGTATAGTTTTACTAAGTTTGGCATTTAAAACTTTGTTTTAAATTTGAGGTTTTTACTAATATTCAAGTTAAGTTTGAAGTAGGTTAGGAGAGTTATATCAGTTAAAATTAATATTGAAAACAATAATATCCTAAAGAATCTGAATTATCTGTAATCCCATGTTTTGAATGTATTATTGTTTATAAATTAAGTACTACAACTAGTATTATCTAATTATAATATATTATTTAATTAGTAATTTAGTGTTATTAATAATAATACTTAAATGAGGACAATATGATTGCAAAACATGTTAAATATTAATAATTAATCATATTTCATAATAATCTCTAATATCATTCTAATAAATGTATTTTTTGAAAAAATTACTACCTAATAAACTTGTTTGGTCTTCGAAGGTAATTAACGAATTAATAATTCAATAGAATTTGAAAGAAAATTACTGTATACCGTATGCAAAGTAAACTAATTCTTTAAAAATGTATATTTATATTTGATTTTTGGCAAAATGCCTGAAAATAACAGCACTTTAATCGAATAGTAAAGTTATTCAAGCCTGCTAAATTATATACATTATACAGAGTGATCCATTCATAATAACCTACTTAATTACTTACAATATTAAAATAATTTTAGACGTTTTTTTAAAAAAATTTTTTAGTTAAATATATATCTTGATTTATCAGTTATTAAATACTTTGTCGGTTCATACCTAATACCTTATAAGGGTGTCAACTTAATTTTTTTTTAATAGATATATATATATATATATATATATATAGCAATCCTATAAAATATAAAATATTCTAATTAAGACATTAACTGGCCAATAACAACGTTCAAACTAGTACTTCAAAAGGTATAAGGGATGAACCGAAAAAGTATTTAATAACTCAAGAAATAGAATATATGTTTATATGTAACTAAAAATATTTTTTTATTTTGTAAGTAATTGAGTGGGTTATGGATAGAGCTGGAATTCTATGTATTTGAAGGGTCCCAGGTTAGTACAACTTTGTCGTAGAATTATTTTTCGTTTGGGTGGGCATAACCATTTTAATCTCCCCAAAAACTATAACCCCGATAATTACACATTACTAAATATTCAAGTTAACTAATAAAAATTTGTACTAGCTGATGATGTTTTTGGAAAAAAATGTTTAAATGCATATAATTTGGGCTCTATCCGTTCATCATAATTTAAAATAAATGGATCATCTTGTATGTTATAATAACATTCATAATTATTAGTTCAATCACTTAAAGGCTGGAAGTATATTAATACGTGTTAATCAATTACCAAAATGACTAAATCTGACATGACGTAATTCAGCATTACCGGTTTTTGAAATAATACAAAGAGGACATTTTATAAAATATATTCGTGAAAACCTGAATATCGATTTCTATATAACTTTTAATAAATATAAACAAGTATTGTATAATAAAAAAGATTACCTTACTCATAACATAATATAAAACTTGTGAAAAAGGGTTTACCCCGTGAAATAATCTAAATCTAAAAAATTAATTAAAACACTTTAATTATGTGAAAAATAATTAATTTATCATAGGCATGGCCATCCTAGGGCAGGGTGAGTCAGGTTCACGCTCCTCCCCATATTTACGGATTTAAAAAATCCTTTTAAATACGACGTTTAATTTATATACAATGATTGAATTGTAAATGTTACAAAACTTTTATCAGACAAAATTATATTATTCATCATCGTATGCTTAACTTCTATGTTAACTATATGGGATCGACTCTGCCTTAATGATTTGACAGGATTTTTACAACATTAGTATAAAATATTGTTTCAAACATAAATTATTAAATATTTGTCAACATCAAATTATTAATGGATTTAAGTATTTTCCTGATTGCTTCAAGTTATTTTATTAAAATGAATATTTTTTAATGAATTTTTTGTGTAAACTGTAAAAAGAAAAGTAATCAAGTGAATGGTAATTTTTTAAAGCATATGATAATTCGTCAAATTTAAAAAAAATAGTAAATTTAGATCTAATAGATTTTTAACTACTGTTTTGTTTCTTTAAAATGTCTCGTATGTAAATATGCTATAATATGCTATAGTTTACTTAATTTAACATTTTTTTAATATGTATCATTGCACTAAATGTACGGCGGAATATCGTCTTAGATGTTTCAAAAGACAGAATAATGTTTTCTTATAGGAAAACATTTTTGGAGGTCCTAAATTTAATTCTGCTTCTTTCTAAATATTTTTATGAATATTTTATTTTTGAAGGACTTACGCTTAAGACTCTCAAATTTCACCGAAGATAACTCCTTAAAAGACAAAATATGAAATTTATATTTTGTTTGAAATTTTAGAAAAATTTTTATGTAGTGTGTAGTATGATTTTTATTTTCAATTTTGACTAAAATAAACATAAAATACAAGGCGATTGTAACTTCAATTTTTTTTCCTCAGATCTTATTCTTCATATTTTTAATCTTTTTTATTGAAATTGTTTCATATTTGGTTGTTTAATAGGTGAATTATGTTTTAAAACTCATCGAAGAATAATCACAAATTCTTCGAAGAGTTTTACATTTAAAGCAATTGTTTTACAAACCATAAAATTGATTTGCATACATTTATATAAAACATTTCTCTCTACTTAACTAAAATTAAAATTGATTGAATAATTTACTATAACCTAAACTAAAAATAAAAGATATTGGAAAATTCAGTATATTTAGTCCAAAATAAAAGATTTTTGATGAATCCTTATTATCGTCGTCCTTATTCGCACCATTAAGTTAAAATGTGTTCATAGGTTTGATGGTATAAATTAATTTTGTTATTCATAGGCTTATTAAAAAAAAAATCAAAAAGAAAATAGTTTTTGATTGTTATAAAGCAAATGAATTTCATTCGTTTTCCATTGTCTAATACAACATAAATAATACATAATTATTATTTTTAATAAAATTTGTGACGGTCAAATGTAAATACGGGATATAATTGTAGATTTGATTGCTTATCTTGAGTAAAAAAAATTATACAGATACTCAATTTAGCCAATATTATTCCAGAAACGAAACCGGTACCAAGTTCTCGGAATGAGTCATAAACGTTTAAACTTGTTATATAATGAATTCATTATTTACACTTACATTTAATTATACATGCAAACGGTTAATAATAAGTCAGACGAGTAAAAATATATGAGCATTATTTTTTGTCGATATATATAAAATTATTATCTTATCAAAGGAGGGATGTAATATAGATGGAACTTAAGGTCCGATCTTTCAATAATATTATAATATTTATTACATATTAAATTTTGGGAGCTTCGTTTATAATCTACAGTTCCTAAGAAAACCTTTAAACAATAACTGGATTTTCCTTAATCTTTTACTGCGTGTATTTTGCGAAAATTTGACCTTGAAAAAATGAGTTCTAATACAATTGTTCACAAATTATAAACAAGTCCTTTATTGTACATGAAATTTAAAACAACTTCTGTAAGTTGGTACCAGTGCATTTCCATGCAATGTAGTTTTAATATTTCTTAAAACTCATTTATAAAAAGGCTCTCAACCTCTTTTTTTTTTGAGAATTGAAAATGTTTAAATCGTAAAAACTATATTTTAAGTAGGGCTTTAAAAGGCCGTAATCAGTGTATACAACATAAACCTACTAATTAACAAGATTATAGGACACGTGGTCAATTTGACCGTGACCGTTAGTTGTTTACAAAATTTTACTTAAAATAAACATTAGATAGGTATTTTGGTCTGTTAAATTTTGTGTTAATAGTATCGAGAAAAACATTTGTGTTCAAATTACAAGCTGATTTGTAATTAATGAAAATTTTATTGTTAATCTTGTCGCCTCGTTACAACCATTGACAATCCTATACTTATTCTGTCAGTTTTCTGAATTAGGAAAATAACAAAATAATGCATAATACTTTCGAGATCGTTAGGACTACATCGCCGTCACTTTTCCATAACCATGTTATAGTTTATTATATTGTCCAACAATAATAGTACAGTAATTACTCAATTTGTTTTCCTTGACTTAATTTATGTAGTAATCTGAACATAATACGGTCAGAAACAATTGCTAGTGTCGTGATTTTCGTTATGTTTTGTTTTTTATCAAAATCATCTGCTTAACGATAATCGTACAAAATTACAAGTATGCATACTTCATGTGTTCTTGTTATATGTATAGCTAATGGCTAAACTAAGTTTCGTATACGTATGTTATGGCTTAATTTATTGTTATGAAACTATGAAATTATATAAAATAGTAATCTCGCCGGCGATTTGATTTTATGAAACGCATCGTTTTTTCTTAACATAATGTCCTATTTATTTTTTACGTGGAACGATTTTCAATCTTTTGACTAGTAACGTTATATGTTTTCATTAGTTTAAAGTTTATGAAAAGTGTCATAGATGTAATTATTTACTTAATACTTAGAGGTATTATGCAATTATTATCCGGTCTTTGTGTGATGTTTGAAAAGACGCATTGCTAAAACAATGTTAATTGATTATAAAATTAGAATTTTTTGTATTATTTTCATAACGGGGACCTTGAAATTATTTCAAATCGAAGGTAACGCTAATCACTTAAGGAGCATAAATGAAATCTATAAAAAATGGTAAATTAGATGATACTGACTGTTTAACTTGGATGTTACATTCAATCATTGTGATGCATCCATTATGTGTTATCGAGGTGACTAAATTATCACCTCGGAAAAGAGGAAGGAAGTGAATGAAAATGTCTCATTGTTAAGTTTCTATAGTTTCAGTTGGTAAAGTACATTTTGAAAATTAAATACAAGTTTTTATTCCTTAGAAATGGTAAATTTAAACTTACAATTTATGAGTAGACATATTAACTACAGTTATCTGTTGTTAACTTATATTATATTTAAGGACTCCTAAGTATACTTTTGTATGTAAATATCATAGTTAGGCTTTTTATTGCATTAAATATTTTTGAATTAATTATGATTTAACTTCGTGAAAAATAAAATAACGCATTAAAAGTACGCAGTAAATTTGTGTTTATTTTAGTGTCAATTTAAATAATCAAACAGTATCAGTATAAGAATTTTTCTTATGTGAGCCTTAGAAAAAACAGTAATAAGTTTTCATAAGTATAAGTTTTTCATTAGAATAGAGCTCATATGAATAGAAAAAAGTTAAATTGCAATATACCAAACATATGTTGTTCTATTTTTATGTTTTTTAAGAAATAAATTGTCGATGATTATCGGACAATATTGAAGGCATTATAAATTCAGAACTCTATGATTAATTCAAAAGCTTTGTTTTAAGTATTGCTTAAAAATTGGGTGGCAAAACCATCAATTAGCAATGGGAAAATTAGTAACGCATTCAGAAGAAATCCTATTAGTTTTGGCCCTTTTCAAATGTTGAAAATTGCTCAACTAAAAGCTCGTTTGGTCTAAAAAGAAATAAAAATGATGCTGCAGTAATAATGCTAAAAATTAAAAAAAGGATTGAGTCAAGTTTAAATGGGTAGCACGTAAAGTACTACCCTGCTATTGTGTATAAGATTTTAAATTTGAGAATTCAAAGTCAAGACAAGAAGCGTAGAATCATGAAAAATTATATTCTTTAATATCTGAATGTGTTTAATTTGAACCTTGAACGACCGCAATCAAAAAAACATTTGATATACTTGTCCGAGTTTCGTACTTTTGCATGACAAATCATACACCGAGTATATTAATACGATAATTGGTATCGTTATAATAATAATAGTAGTAGTCGAAAATAGACACAAGTTATAATCTGTATCTTAGATAGTAGACCACTACATTTAAATGTTTCAGGTAGATCTTGTTAGTGTACATAATTTTATCAACCAATCAAATTTACTTCCCAAAATAGTTCGTTATTATTATTGAAGAGAAAAATACAATGACTAATTGTGTTATGTGGATAAATGAAGTGGTAATGGAGAAGAAGAATCCGAAGTGAAACCAAAAGTTTCCCCACCACCCCCGCAAACGAGGAATCGGCTCAGCGGCCTCCTCTGCGTTCACCGTCTCCGCCTCCACCACCACAAGCAGGTCTAACGTTATGTATTTAACTGTCGACCCGGCAAATGTATATAAAACAATCGGACGCGGTTTTCAGATGTTTTATTTCGAGTAAACCAATAACTAAACCAAGTGAATACACATAAATCACAAAGAAGAGACATTTAAGCTCTTCAACGTCAAGACTATTAAACTAGCACATAATTCAGCAGATTCTAATTCTCTGTAAGTACAGTTATGACATTACATTATTAATTTTAAGCAAATATTGACTACTTTTCACGATATTATAACAATATCGTTATGATTAAATAATTTGTTTAATTATTAAATTATTAACTTGCTACAAAATCAAATATACAATTTTTAATTTTGAAATAAATGTTTTCAGTTATAAAAAGAAAATATGATAGCAAAATCAATTGTATTGGAACAAAAATTAGAAACATAAAATAATTTTTTTTATATTAATCTTAATTCGTTTTAAACAGATGAATGATTATACTAAAATAGTGTGTTTGTTAATAGCATAATATTGTATTTAGCAGCTAATAGCAATCATACGCGATGCTAAACTTTTTATTTAAGTTAACATTACAAATCCAACAACTGAATTTTGCGAATTTAGTAGACAACAATTTAGTGAAAAAATTTCTATCAATTTTGTATGGTTACTAGGATAAAAATGATTTAAAAGAATAGTTGAAAAAATTCCGAACAATTTTATTATATGATTTACATTTTTACTTAATATTTTCACCAAACAGTTTTAATATTGTTTAATGGTAATAATTATAACCAGTATATTTGTCGATTAAGGATTTTCATGATGTTGCTTTTTACATATAAAATGTTCAAATAATTTACTAACGAGTTTTTAAAGGTATTCGTTTGGCCCGAAGACTCAAAACGTGTTATAGCCGAAAGACAATGTTCGCCGGTCTTTAAGAATTGTAAAAATTAAGCGTTTTCATTTTCCTCGAACGCTTCTAATTACAATTCACATAATAAAATTTATTTATTTGCTCAACTGGTTTAAATTAAACAAGGTCAACACTATTCTTTTTTTGTTTTCGTCAGAATACAACTAACCCAAGGGTTTTTTTACAATTGTACGATAAATCGGCGATCAAAAAGTATCAGATGATCGATAATTTTTTTAAAGAGAATCTTTTAACGTTTTTTTATTTTATTCAATCAGATTATTGGTTTTTAACTGGGAATTTCTGCCAAAATCATCAACTCCAACGTTGAGAATGATTTGGTTTTATTGGAAACCCAAGACATTATTATACAACCACTTGGAGTGATATCAGACTGAATTGTTGTCCTGTCGAGACAAAACGCGACCGGTTTCGTAAGACGCGTTCATCATTCCCCGTACCGGTCGGTCAGAGTGATTATTAATTTCCTGTATACATTGTGCACATGTGTGTACACTGTGCGCGAGCGAGACACCTGAAACTCTCATCGCGCATTTTTTTCTACCAAATAGAGACAGCGGACACGCCGAGTGGTGGCCGCCGTTGTTGACCCGTAATGTCGTTGCGGTTCGTCAGCCCACTAGATTGTTGCTGTTGGCAATTAAATTTAGTTTCGCAGAAAATCGGATAGTCGTTGCAGAAACACGGTGTTATTAGTGCAAAAATCCGGTTTCGACACTGAAATCGGCCGACGTTTGCGCAACGGCCGACAGTACCGTAACGATGGCCGACGGATTTTCATTTCGAGCCGTTTTTCGTTCTCAATGTCAACAACCTTGTAACCGTTTCGGGCGGATCAACAGATTATGCCACAGCACGTCTTTAGAAGCCCAGGGCCGCCGGTGCATAGGACATGGTCTGACCGCCGCTCCGGATGACGAACGGCGACGCCTTGACGACATCAGCCGGAGTCCTTGCTGCAAATGGAAACCGATCGACCCCGCGGTTTTCTCCGCACAAATAACAACAATATACCGAATTCGTATGGCGCTGTCCTCTGGAGGTCGCTCGTCGACGCACAAGACGATGGCTCCAAATGGCGGTGGGGGGGAGGACATCTGGAAAATATTTATGATAATTGGCGCAATTAACGTGTACGTTATCTTCAAGGCGCATTCAAACACTAGATTCTTGCATTTTAAATGCCAAAGAACATGACGATGATCGCCAGCGACAACCCGAACCATACGCCTGTGTAAGTGGTTTCGGACTGTACTGCGTGTTCGTTACGGTACGTCGCAGGAAATGGATTCAAATGCAATGAACAAGATGCGAGGACCGGTGGACCGAGCCAGACGGCGATAATTTCACTAATTCAAATGTGAAACCGAAACCTTGAAGGGAATTGCATAATAAATACATTTACACTTGTATATTAAAAATATTATGCTTGTGCGCGCATATATTTTTATGTATCTGAAATCGGTCCTTGAAAGTGGACGTGATATTATACTTGAAAGTGAAAGTAAAACACATATGGTTTGTACACTTCTGCGCGTGTATCATTCGCCCGTGCGTATAATACACAGAAGCACAGGGACATAAATCGTCCGGTTTGACAGCGAAAAGGAAGATTCCCGTTGTTTTCCTGTGGGAGACGGCAGTGGCAACTTTATTCGAGCGAAGGGAATGAGTCACGTGTAATCTCTTAAACCTTTCACTATAGAGGCAGTGGTTGCCCATACGAGACACGGTCACANCCTTGTCGCCTATTACATCGTCCGTACGGACACCATACGAAACCTTTCACTATAGAGGCAGTGGTTGCCCATACGAGACACGGTCACATACAATAAGTTGACATCACCTGTGCACAGCATTAATATTAATGACTCGAAAGTTATAGTTTTGTTCGGTACTCGGTAGCACGAGAGTTGGCTCAAACAAATAAAATATTCTACATTCACCGACGACTTGGAAATTTACATAAAAATAAAAAAAAAGCAAATATCACTATTTTCTACTTATTGTATTACTGTATTTATAAATGTATATTTACCCGCCAACTTGAGGAGTTGGGTGTGGTGTTGCGAACAGTTTCAGTTTCAACTATTTCTGCTGTTTCGTCTATAGTTTCTATTAGATCTACTGTATCCAATTTTCTTTTCACAGAAGAACTGTTCGGCCGAATTAAACAATACATACACAACAAGTACTACTGTTGTTTTGTGGTTTTCGTTTATTTTTAGCAAAAAGCGAAACTCTTTTAAGCGTTAATTGTATTATTTAACTCCGCAAAGATTTCCATCATTTAATTAGTTTATTGATTACACTTTCTCGTCGATAAATTGAAATAATCGATTATCTCTCGCCATACAAAAGGAAATGGTTAATTATTTCCGGTTGATGGTAAATTTATTTAAATATTGAGTTCGTTTATAATTGCTTAGAAATTATAGTTAATAGGGATTACATTTTTTTTTTATAAGTAATTATAATTATTTTTACGGATGTCTCATATAAAATAAAATTATATAATTAAAATAGTGATAATAATTATTAACTTGTTTAAATAGAATTAATTACAAAATGAACTACAAATTGAGCGTTTTGGCCGTTATTTTGGGTGTTGCTGTAGTTGTCCTTTCCGCTGACGAAAAAAACACAACCGCCCCGTCAGAACCTGACAATGGAGTCAAAATATTCCGTAGACTTATCCCAGCCGACGTTTTAAGAGGTAAATATTATAGAAATCCACATGTTGCAAAAGTAGACATTTGAAAAAACTAATTAGCATTTCTAATTATCCGACGGGCTTATGTTATTTAAACTTTATTTGATTCAGTGGTATATAAAGAGTACAGTGTCTCAAATGACGTGCAGATGTTTTTAAAGTTCATACGTTTTGGATTTTATTTGTTCATAGACATATTTAATAAAAAATTTATTTTTTATATTTTATTTTCAGATTTCCCTGGATTATGTTTTGCTTCTACTAAGTGCGCTACAGTTGAACCAGGTCACATATGGGAATTAGCACCTTTCTGTGGTCGCTCAACCTGCGTACAAGGTGAAGGCACCAATCAACTTTTGGAATTAGTTGAAGACTGTGGACCATACCCAAAACCCAACCCAAAATGTAAGCTCTCTGAAAAAACTAACAAGACAGCGGCTTTCCCAGAATGTTGTCCAATTTTCGAATGCGAACCTGGTGTAAAATTGGAATACCCAGAAATTGCTATTATTGAAGGTGGTGGGGAGGAAGCTACTGTACCAACAACTGTGAAACCTACCAAAGCCTGAGTATTACAATTTGCAAGCACTACTTCCATCATTAATCAATGATTAACACATCTCACAAGCATAAAAACTGTACAATACATATTAAGATTAAACTATTTTATGATAAATGTCAATGTTCCATAATATGTTAATTATTAAGTTTTTACGCTAAAATTATTGAAAAAGCAATTCCTAAGTTTTTCTTATCAAACTAAATATTATGAATGTAATATATAATATGAAAATTATGTATTAAACACTATAATAATACCAAAACCTAAGTACTTAAGTTTTTAAAATACTACTTAGGAATATTGTAAATCACCACAACATCATTTACAAAAATATATTTTATTATACATATAACACTTAAGTGCACAATATTTCATTTGAAACTTGATTGTAAATATAAAAGCCATTTTCGACTATCTTTCTATAGAGATTTATGTACTTCTGAGCTTTAATAATGGAAGGAGCAACATACATCTCAGTGAATTCTTCTCTTGTTTTGATGGAATGAATAAATGTTTTAAGAAAGTTAAATTGCTTCATAAAATCCATTACAAAAGAAAAACAGTTGTGTGTTTCTTCATTATATCTAAATTAAAATTACATTAAACAGAATATATATATATATTGAGTCATACAAATTTTATGTTTTATTTAAGATGATAAATCATAAGATAATAAATGTTTACAAATAAAATAATAAAATTTCAAATGCAGAATTTTGTATTAAAGAAACTAAATTTATGTAATTTTTATTAATGAAATAAAAACAAAAAAATATAATTCTTAAATTTTAGAATAATTGTAGTGACGTATTATTTAATTGTTTTTCTCATTTTAATTCAGTATTTTTAGATTTAAAATAAAATGAAATATAATATTTTTATAAATAATTTTAGAACAATTGTTTTTAAAATATTCATAGTATTTTTTCATAATCAGTGAATGGTGAAATATAGAATGTGAGACTATTTCTAAATATTGTATAATTTGCTTTAGCCTACAATATTATTTAAATTTTGTGTATAGACACTGTGCATCAGACTGAGAAATCAGTGCTTTGGTGGACAATGAGTTAATAAGTGTCGGAGCCCATTGTATGCATAAACAAATATTTTCTAAAACATGAAAAAATAGTATTTTTCAAATTTTTGCACATCAAACTTTTTATTTAGAATAAAATAAACAAACAGTTTTATAAAAACTGAATTATAAAGTAACTCATCATATTTATTATTTTATAAATAATATTATTGCTCATTTACATTTTTTTAATGAGATATTTTATTTTTGAGCTATAGATGTTTTCATAAAATATCCCCATAAGTTATCCTTAATAACAAATTTGTTAACTCTTTGGCCATCAAAATCCTCTCTTTGCAGTCTGGTACACGGTGTCTATATACTTATAGAAAAAGAAATAAATAACCTTATGCTATTCCATCGTTCTGATTTAATGATATCTGATAAAACATTATCCCACAGTGGTTCCCAGTTTATTTCTTTCAACTGTAAAATAACTAAACATTCATTCCAATTGTTTAAGTTAACGTCTTTCGTAATACCATTCCAATCAAAAGAGACTATCACGCATTTTGAAGTAGTAATTCCAATATGTAAATCATCCATTAATTGATAGGTACTAAATATAATTTTGTATAAATATTTTTAGACATACTTATACATAATTATTTTCAACACTATTTTATACTGACTTTAGAAAATCACCTTCAGTTGTTTTTATAATAATTGAACATGGTTGTTGTGATCCTCTGACAAAAGGATAAGGTACTCTGATAATTTATAAAAATTTCAACATTAAATTTTCTCAAAAATGTATGAACTAAATGCCATTTCTCAATGTAGGCTGTATTAATATTAAAATCATGCAAAATATGATTAACTATTATCCTCTATTTGATGAGTGTCTCTCGAAACAACTTAAATTTAGAAAATAATAAAATTTCTAGGTTATTATAGTAGTAGGTTGTCAATTTTTTAAAACAAAAAATTATATTAGTTTTTAATTTTAAATTAAGAGTTTCATATAAATGTAAAGCTCTTTAGAATTTATTTAAAATATAAATAAATAATATAGTTACAACAAATATTTTAAAATATTGTTACTTATTCCATTAAGTAATGTAATTATGTCGCAATTTCATTTTGTCGATACAGGTTATTTAAATCATAATTTTATATTATCTAAAAATAGAGGGAAAAAATTATATTAAAAATCATTATATTTTCAAGATCAGGGTTTAAAAGTTGGTGACCAGAAAACGTGGAAAACGAATGGCCTGCCAATAATATTCTACTCCCATTTTTCTTTTATCATTATATTATGTACAGTATAAAAATAATGAACTTTATACATTATAATAAATTTAATAAATAGGAATTCCATAGTTTTCTTTTCTGATCTTTAATTCTTTTATTTTAAAACCATTTTAAAAACTGATTATCAGATTTATAACTAAATAAAAAAAGTTACATTTGATCTATTTTCTGGCTAAAAAATCAGTACAGTAATAAGAAACATCATTTTTCTTTCCAATATACTAACATAAAAAGAGTATATTAAAATATTTTACCTGACAGGAATACAAGCAGAATTTGATAAACTTCTTGTACAAACATGACAATTTACAGGAGTATTGAAGCAGAATATATTTTTGTCAATACAATGTCTATAGCATTCTATTCCAGGATCATTGTTCATGGTAGCCTAAGAGTCCGATTCCTATTTATTTTGTTAATTAAAAAGCATGAAAAATTATAATATTTTAACCTATTCCTCACAAACAATTTTTTATTTTACTAAACTTCTTCTGTAGTATTCAATCTAATGATTGGTTTGTAGCAACTCAATTACTAAAACTATTAGTAGATAAGTATTATCACCTGTTGCTATCATAATTATCATTTTGTGATATAATAAAAATATGTTAACAGTTTCAGTTAGGTTCAACACGATCGTATTAAGTAATAGCACAAATTAAGATAAACATTTTTCTATGAATTATTTGACTTAAAGTTAAAAATCCGTTAAAATGCGTTCCTTCTTTCATTTTGCTATAACTTTATCAATAATATTCTGATCCAAATTAAATGTTAATGGGGTATATTAAAGACAATGAGCTTTCTATTGGAATAACTTTATTTCAAATACAAAAATCTAAGAACATAAAGGGTTTCTAAAATAAAAAATAATTTTAAAATAAAATTGTTGAAATTGTATAGAAATGACTGATAAATTTTCACCTCTATCAATTAAAAGGTTTTGTTTTGCAATATTTAAAAAACAATTCTATTTCTTGATTCTTCTACTGTAAGAAAATACTTAGTATTTAATTAATGCTCACAGATATCATATCACTTAGCCTAACTTAGCCGCGTCCCGATATGCTTTTAGCTTCGATGCGAAGCTGAGAAGGTATTGATTTTTCTATGATGTGTTTTTTTTTTTTTTTGTGTCTGTTACCACTTTTTCTCAGCTCTCACCGAATGTATTTCTTTCAACGATACGTCAAAAGATCACAAATCGTATCTAGTCGAAGACATTACCCTTAAAAATTGAAAAAATTTCCCTCGTTTCCTGTAAATGGGGGAAACCTCCAAAAAAATTACAAATTTAAAATTCGCTAATTTTTGAACAATTTTCAATTTTTTTTACTAAAAAGTGCCGTAACTTTTTCAAAAATGAACATATCAATATAATTTTTTTTTTTATAGATGCTTAATGTCTTTACCTATCATTTGATATATTTCTTTTGTAAATTTGACACTTAACTTGCCCACAGGGAAGGATTTAAAATGACAACTTTTTACTTTTTCAACTTGATTTTTGAAAATGTTCCGGAAGGTTTGACACTTTTATATATATCTTAAATTAAAGCTAATGTAATATACTTTATCATGAAAAAAAAAAATTTCGGACTTTATTTTATCTTCATGGTGAAAATAGTTACCGAATGCTATTTTTGTGTGAAAATTCTCGATTTTATATTTTACATTTTTAACTTTATAATGCTATAACTTATTGTAAAGTGTATGGATCAACACAATTTTTTATGAGAAATAATAATCCCTTTTTCATTCGACATACTTTATCTTAATCAGGATATTAATAAGGAGCTAGCAGATCATGTAGCTCTTAGAATAATACACCAATTTTTTAAAATTAAACACTGTCTAAAGATTTGCATCGAAGCTTTTTTTTTTTGATAGTGATTTTAATCACTGTCAGATATCATAATACTTGATCCAACTATGCCACGTCACCACTGTGCCGCGACCCCCTGTGATGGGTTTTTCTTAATGATAACGTATATATTTTATGTATGTATTAAAAGAAGATTTAATTATTAAAATGATGATAATTTTTGGATCAGTAATTTGAAAGTTGTTAGTATTTTTATACCAAGGCTAGAGAATTGGTGCAGTTGAGAAATGTATTTTATTTTGAAGTGGTTAAATATGTATCTAGCTATTGCCGGTGCAATAAAACAGATCTTTTTCAACTGAACTTTTGAAAATGTTCCGGGAATACTGCGTCTTTTAAACATATATAAAATCAAAGGTTATGTTATATACTATCAAATGAAAAAAAAAATTTGTCTCGACATCTTATCTTCTATGTGCAAATGGCTGTCGAAAATTTAAAAAAAATGTAATGTTTGCGATAAAAATCACGTTCTATCGGAATGTTTCTTATACTTAAAACAGCCATAACTTTTTCAAATATTAACAAATCAAAATAATATTTTTTTGTATTGAAACCTTAGGTATTTCCCTTTCATTTGATATAATTTTTTTTGAAAATCTAACACTTATTCTGGGGGGATTTAAAGTAGTAACTTTTTTACAAAAAATAAATTTTTCAACTTAATTTTTGAACATGTTCCGAAAATACTGCGTCCTTTAAACATATATCAAATTAAAGCTTATTTTATGTACTATAAAATAAAAAAAAAAAAAAATTTGTCCCGACGACCTATCTTCTATGCGCAAATGGCTACCGTATTCAAAAATATGCTATTTTAACAAATTTTTTTTTTTTTAATTAAACACTATCTACAGATTTGCATCGAAGCGTTTTTTATGATAGTTATTTTAATCACTGTCATCTATACTGGACCCAACTATGCCACGACCCCACTGTGCCGCCACCCCATTGTGCTGGGTTTTTTTTTTTATGAAAGAGTGACGTCATAATTTTAGTAAAATTATTTGCGAACATGAGAAATAATTGTTTAACACACCGTTAGCTTTTAAAAATGTTATCAAAAAAGGCTCACGTTTATCAAATCTAATAAAAAATTAGGCATAGTTTGTAGTGAAATATTATTTTGCTTTGCGCATCTCAATTTTTTTTAAGTTTTATGTCAGTTTATGTAGTTTTCACTAATAACACAGCATTTAAAGATTGTGTTTTAATGATTATGAATTTTTCTTTCGTCTTTTTGTGGTTTTGAATAATACTTAGTAGATTATTATGAAGTATAACTGTGACACATCTAAGTATTTTTTAGTCATATTATTAGTTTTTAATTATTAATTAATTTACAAGTGTGACTAATTTTCTAGTAAAATGCTTTTGCAGATATACTATTTTTATACATATCGTTCCAACGTAACCCGGTACTTCTACCGTCATAAATTTTTTTTTAAAAATTGCAACGAAATGTTAATTTTATTAAAAATTTGAAAATCAATTATATTATTATGAGAGATTAGTAAATTTTTTTAATAATTGTTAAACTTACATTAAATGTCCAGGTTAACATATATATATATTTTACATAAACATATATAAGAAATGTTAGTATCTAAGTTTGTTTTTTGGGGGAAATTAAAGGTACTATCCTATTATCCCGCAACGATACATTAATTTATCAATTTGAATTGTTAATGGATAATTAAGTATTCAAAAATAGATCAATTTTTGGTATTTATTTAACAATTTAAAAGTAATTACAAAAGTTAAATTTTGATACACGTTATTAGAGAAGGCACACACAAAAAATAATTTTTACATTTTTTGTATTGGACTACTTAGTCTTGTTCATGGTAGGCTGGCATCTCTAATTTGAAAACAAGATAAAAGTAACTCGGTCAGTTATGAAAATAAACTGAATTAAAATCTCCCCTTTTAATAAATAAACAAAAATAAATTTAAGTCCTATAATAGGCGTAAAAGATTTTTTCGAACTATCCAAAGAACTAGTTGCTATCACTGGACCAGACAGTTTCAGCTGTAAGTCAACGTCTTCGCATCTTAAACTCCAGCTTGACACTCCTGATAACTATCGTAAAATAATCCACTTTCTGAAAGACAATGATGCAGAGTACCACACGTATCAACTAAAATCTGATAAAGCTTACAGAGTAGTGTTAAGAAATCTCCATCCATCGACTCCCGTTTCCGAAATCTCAGCAGCAATTGAAGAAATTGGTCATTCTGTCAGACAAGTCACCAATATTATTCATCATCAAACCAAAATCCCATTACCACTGTTCTTTGTAGACCTTGAGATCGATGAGAACAATAGTGATATATTTGATGTCACATCCATACTTCACACAAAAATAAAAGTCGAAGAGCCACACAAACAACGACAGATTCCCCAATGTTTAAATTGCCAATCTTATGGTCATACTAAAAGCTATTGCAGCTATAGTCCACGCTGCGTTAAGTGTGGCGGAAATCATCTCTCCACGAACTGTTCCAAGTCACGCGAAACTCCTGCCACCTGCGCACTGTGCAATGCCAACCATCCAGCAAACTATAAAGGCTGTACTGTCTATAAAGAACTCCAGCAACGACGTCGCCATCCCGTGAGCTCCAATCATGCCCGTCTACAGCATCCACAACAGCCTCAACATCCTCCAGTTGACCAGTCCAACTACCA